GACTAATTTTAATCCATGACTAGGCTAGTTCTGGACTTATAAATCCCTGACTCAGAAACCCGCCCTTAATTATATAATAGCATAAAGTTGTTGGGCTTTGAGGCGCTGTCGGTAGTGATGGTTGTTACTATGAGGGTTGTTTGAATGATTCACTTAAAAGCATTGTATTACATAACACCACGAGTAACGTAGCAATGAGGTTTGAGGGAAAAGAAGGATTAAGAGAAAGAAGTTAAATTGTAAAGCTTCGAACTTCAACTAATCAGCTGTTTACCAATTTAATTTTTAATAATCTGTGCAATCAGTATTTGGTACAATGAGTCGTTGCATAACTGTCAGTATGGCAATGAGAGGTTATAAACAAAAACATTACCTCTATTAGAAGTTATGAGTAGTGATTGTTGGTACCTAATTAAAAAACGGTCAGTGATTGTTAGTAATAAAAAAACAGTGGTAGGTAAAGTAGTATACGCAACTCCCTAAAAAGTCTTAACCATACTTGAAGAAGTTCATAAAGCACTTTGTTAAAACATAACCTGTTAGTAGTAATTTGTTAAAATATTACATATTATTTTACAGGTATGCTGCTAAAGTGGTTTGTCTATTTGTACGATTTGGAAGTGATTGAAGAAGATGCTTTCCTGAAGTGGCGTGAAGACATTACAGACGCTTATCCAGGAAAAGGAAAGGCTCTCTTTCAGGTAATTAATTAAAATTAAGAGTCATAAAAAATAAATCACTTTTGTGAAGAAAATACAAATTTTAGTGTTAGTAAGTAGATTAACTTGGCTTAATCTAAACTATCTGTTAACAGTTTCTTACCATTAATCAGCTGAAGAATCTTGCTTGAACCATAAAAACATAAACTAATCTTCCCTACTGCAGTTATAAGCTACGAACAAACTAGGGCGGCACAGCACGGACGGCAGCTTCCGCTGTTTGTTAAAAAGTCCGAGAGACAGAACTGTAGGACGTTCCCAAGCTGCTGTACCGACCAGACGCTGCGCATCAACCGAGCGAACGGTACGGGACTTCCGCCATTCTCCACTGTTCTCACGGTCTCTGTCAAAGTCGGACTCACAGTTTTAGCTCGAAGACAGTACTGAATTGCTGATGTGCGGTTGTCCCGTCCCGTCCTCTGCGCCGTGCCTCCCTAGTGCACGCATAGCTTTACTGAAATTTAAGATTGGGGTATGAAGTTTTATGGGCCGAAAGTGAAGGGTTGTGCTTTTGGTAATAGAAATATTTATACAATTTTAGGTTGCCTACCCAGAATTACCCACCCTGTAATCCAATAATAAACTAAGGGAAAAATTTGGTCATTTTTGCAATACTGTTCATACAAATCAGACAACTTAAAAAGTTACAAGAGGTTCTACCCGCGAATTCACGGGTGAACAGAAGCCACCATTAAATTAATTTAATCAACTTTGACTTTATGTTTCATTTAAAGGGCCCAAGTTCGAGAAATTGTCATCTGAAATTATGTTAAAAGCAGTGGAACCTTCATACCTTACATCCTAGGTTGGCTGAGGTTGTACCTAAACGTGCAGCTCTCTTTCACGACGTCTTTAATACCTTAATACTTTATCAATGAAATTGCGACCTGTTAAAGATCGGTGACAACCTCTAGGAACGAAGAACATACATGGTTTGTTAATCTCATATTCGTCGTGTTTCGAACACCTTTATTAACTCACTTGTATCAAACAGCTAGAAATAGCTTCACTGTCCATTCGCCGCACTTCTTTTAAGAACATAAAAGTAAATAATAAAATAAGTAAACAAAAATGTAAACAAACAAACTATATTGGCAATTGCATTGGCCAGCTGTTGTTAACTAAATTAATCGAATAATAACTTCCAAAACATGCAAGGCCCTTTGGAAATCAGCCTGTGGGGCAGAGCCCTTAGGGAGTTCGTCCATATCAAACATTTTTGGTAAATCTACACACTTTAAGCTTCATTTTGATATGCCATATGCCTATATTTTTATTGGGTAAATGGCCTTAACCGTTTACATAAAATGTTATTTTATCACTTTAATAATATAATAGATTTTTATTAGAAGCAAACCAGTAAAATTTGCAGTTGCCCACAAAAAAATCGTACAAATATTCATAACTTGCTGTACAAAAATTTAGGGATGGACGGGATTGTAATTTAGTTCGGAACGGGACGTGATTTTGATTTCCTTCCCATTTTTGGGACGGACGTGATTTTGATTTCCTTCCCATTTTTGGGACGGACGTGATTTTTTCCTGTGCATAGAAAGAAAGTCTTCGAGTACCTATTGCAGTTGCAGTTACCAAGAAAGACAAACAAAATCAACTTTTACCATTTGTGGCACTGATCTACAAAAATAAAAAAATTACAGGTATAGAAATTTGTGACTCGCGGTCACGGCGTGATCGTCGGTATGACTCCGCGGTCACGGCGTGATCGTCGGTATGACTCCGCGGTCACGGCGTGATCATTGGTTTGACTCATGGTCACTGCGTGATTGTTGGTATGACTCCGCGGTCACTAACCGATCGTTGAAATGACTTCGCCTCCTGCGTTCATGGGACTATCGTGAATATATCTCGCGATAGCGGCGTCACTGTCACTTGCGAAGCGGCAAACTCGCTGACAACCGGATCAAATCCAGTCCCAAAAATCAGGAATATTTTTTCCGAAAATTTCACGAAATTTCAGGACCTGTTCAATGTTCATCCCTACAAAAATTGGCAAGTAATATGAATCCAATTTTTTTTAACCTCTCAGTGGACACCCTAAGATGGTTGATGGTTTGGTTAGGGAAGCGAACTAGTCTAGTGGTAGAGTGTGGAACTTTATGTTCTGAGGCCCTGGGTTCAAATCCCGCCAATCACCAATGCATTTTATTTAAGTGATAAGACTGCGACCCCCTGTAGACATAGCCTGAATTAATGTGGAAGACTCCGAGCTAGAACTTGGAGATATGGTAAAAAGTAGGCTAAAGAAATAGAAAAAGGAGACTGATGTGTGATGTTTTGTGTCCCAGGTGAACTCTTGGCTGACATGGCTGGAAACAGTCTCCTCAGAAGAGGAAGACGAAGAGGACGCTTGAAGAATGATTGCATGGCAGTATTAATTATAACAAATAAATGATGGAGTATGAAAACAAATAGAACAACCACTCATTTTTTATAAAAAACTTATGTATTAATTATAGTCGTTATATCTTAATTATACAAATAATTTTAATTTTTTCTATTATATTGTTGTACCGATTTAGTGTCTCCAATTGTAGTTCTGTACACAGTAATAAATAAACCATTTTAATTGTGACTTTTAGGTTGCAACTTTTACTTCTGTGATTTGTTATAGATGATCTTTAACTGTCCTGAAACATATATCTTTTTGTAATTTTTTTAAGGTGAAATTCTGATTAGTGTGAGGTCGAGTGCATTTAGTTGGTGTTGTCTTGTATTAATATGAAATCTGTTTCTAAAACTATTGTTTTCTCCTCGTAATTTATTATTCTTTGTAAACTAAACTAAGCTAACTAAGTTGAACTTCTGGTTAAATGTAGACAATTTCAATTCCTATGCAACGTGTGTTAAGTTTCTTATTAAGTATTTTGGATGTATGCTAGAAAATATAACGAATTTATTGATAAAATAATAAAAATGCAAAAAAATTGGAAAACTACATTGTGTCATTTTTTCTTTACATACTTCTGTTTCCTTGTAGTTTGTTATTTTTCTGAAAGGGGCCGGTAAAAGCCACAAAGAGTTGATTTGTCGAATTATTGAACACCCCAATGAGTTTTATTAAGTGGGTTCTACCCAGCAGCCTGAATTTCAATTCAAGATGGCGGATTATATGGATTGAAATATAGTTCGTGATTGAACATGCCTCGTATCGTAAAAGCTCCCAACATTCTAAAACAAATTTGTTTCCAATGATTGTTTTTTTGTGTGCCCTTAACATATCAGAGCTTGTAATGTATGGGGATAAATTAATTTATGGATTTTCATAATGAATTTGAAAATACTTAAAGAATCAATTACAAAGTTTCTGTTCAGCCAAGTACATAGTTTGGATTTTTGTGAATATTTTACAGTTCATTTCAACTCGATAAACACTTTATTAATGCCATGAGGTTCTATTTTGAGGGACAATGTTTACGCGGTAGCAGCCGGCTGGTGGAACCCTCTCAAGAGTATTTGAAAATACTTAAAGAATCAATTACAAAGTTTCTGTTCAGCCAAGTACATAGTACTTGACATACTGTAAAACTTCAATGGTAGTTTGCAGTTTACCAATCAGTTTCACCATGTGGATAGGATGTACTTAACCTGTTTCAATAGTCAAACATAATTTGTTCTGTCTATTAGTGATGGTCAAAACCAGAATTTTCTAATCTCAAAACCGAAACGCGAAACTTTTTTACTTTGCTGGTTACAAGGGTTAAGGTTACAAAAAAAAATACAGGTAATAATAAAATGTTAAGTACTGTATGCAATCAAATTGAAAGAGGTCTTTTGACACTGACATAATAACATCTGAGTTGTATGTTTTTCCAGTTATAGTATTTAAGATGTCTTTTGAAGTTCAGAATCAGAATACAATTTACTGTTTGCATTACTGTTAATGGTGATTTGATTGATCTATTGCTACCAGCTTGTGTGGAAAGTGTAAACAGTGTTAGAGACAATAATAATGACGCAAAATATGTCAGCAAAATTTCAAAACTTTTGAATCTCGAATCTCAAAACCGAAACTTTTCCAAAGTTTTGATGGTTTTGAGATTTGAGATTCGGTTTTGACACATCACTCACTACTGTCTATTCATTGCTTTTTCCTTGGTGAAGTTCTTCTTCAGCTGTTGGGATCCACAGGCTTGTCAATGAAAAATTAGGGTTTACTGTATTTGTTTGCATATGGAGTCAAGCCGATCTAGGTCTAGAGACCTTCACTAGTAGACTTAAATGAAAAATATTTGTGGTGAAACAAAACACATTTTAGCCATATATACATCACATTTATTACAAATCAATAATTTATATACATAGTTTACATAATGTAAATGAATCACACACCATTCGTTGGTTACCGTAAGTAGGCTACAGCAAAATACACCTGGTATGTCATGACTAGCACAGTTGATATATTGTATTCAAATTAATACAAATCTTAACTAAGGTGAAACAAACAAAATATAAATGCAATAAAACTTACCAAGGACACAAATATTGTGATATAAATAATATAATACTTTTAAGATGTAAAAATACTACACGTCCAGAGTGTTATCCATCATATAAACTAATTACTTAAACATAGATGTCACTCCTCTTAAGTTTTGGCAAGGCTCCACTAGAAAAACAGGCCATGCTGCACAGGATCCATGACGTCACACTTTTGGACAGATTGGGTCCCCGGAATTTCATCCCCCTGAGCAAAGCTGACGTCACTATGACTGTTGAAGGTGAAATTTTACCCCTGCGGATTTGGAAGTCTTTTCGTCAGTTTTAATTTAATAGTAAACATTTTATTATTAAGTAGCCTATTTGTAATCTCAACTAAGTAAACAGGTTTCACTGTTTAATTTCGATATTCGGGATTTCGGTTTGGGACCAACTGTTTTTTAATATGTATGTATAATAAACTGAGTATCTCATTAAAATTATAATTGGTTGGACATTTCTTAAACGATTTATTATACAACCGTGAAAAAACAATTTATTTAGTTTCTGTTGAATGATAGCACAATATGCCTTTTTGTTTCTTCAGGCCCTTCCTTCAGGGGTCGTGAGCTATTTATGGTTTGTACTGAGAAAGGTGATCGAAATACCTGTTGTAAAATGTAGTTGTAGGCATCCGGTACAAAGTATTCGACCGATTATTGTGTTGACTAAACTGCAAGGAAACCCAAATGTTTGTATAATATACATATTAACCAGCAGTTGGCCCCAAAAGTCAAATCCCAAAACTCGAATATTAAAATTAAAATTCAAAACCTGTTTGTTTAGTTAAAGTTACAAATAAATTAAGATAAGCTACTTAATAATAAAATGTTTACTATTAAAATAAAACTAAAAAATAAAATTAATCATTCTCACTTAATTCTATATGCCAGGGGCCACTAAAAAATCCGGGCCACTCTAGGTTTTTATAATTTGGTGTTTTCTGATTATATTCACAACCGTGAAAATATAAATTAATTTCCACCTTTAATCCATCGAACTGATGTTGTGCAACTCAAGTTTGTGGCCGGAATTTTACCCCCTGGTTTATGACGTCATTTTTGCCCAAGGAGATAAAAATCTGCTACCCCGATAGATTCACTGCCATATACCATATGTTTTAGGTAAATGAGCTCGGTTTGTCAAATTTTAACAGCAATATTTTAGTACAACTATTCACCACTGTGACATATTATTGTGCTGCCTGCGCTGCAGCATGGCCTGTTTTTCTAGTGGGGCCTTGTTCTTTTGTAGGTAACTATTTTTACGTCAGTTTGGTTATCTTCCCTATTTTAAGTCACAGCTAACTGAAGTTGAACAAAATACACACGTTTTACAATCAATATCTCTGTCCAATTGATCTAACCTAATCTTGTGTGCAGGTTATTCTAGCTGTTCTATTACGGCTGCATTTCTCAACACCAATTAATACACAATGTGTTATCCTGGCGGCCAAATCCAGCAAGGGAGATCAGTGCCTATAACACCCGCACGACATTCACCTTGTCAGCCTAAATCACTAGAAAAACTACCACGCCTTTTGATAAAAAGAAATTGTTGTAATGATTAGTTCATTAAAGTCACTAAATATTAATAATTGATGGTTTGAATTAATCTCTCAGTAACAACCATTATTAAAAACTAAAAATAATTTGATGACAAGGGCTTCAAGTGACTTGTTTTGGCCCGAGCTCTAGCTTAACGACCAAGGTAAAACAAGCTAAAAGTGAAATTTTAAATGGATTTACCAATAATTATTTTATTCCTTTTTGGAATAAATAAATCGTACCAGCCTACCAACTCAGTATAAAATTAAAATACTATCTTTTAATAAGTAGATGAAAAACAAGTTAAAACATTATTGTGCATCCTTTTGAAAGAGAGTACTGTTAAACAAGTCAATAAATATTCTTAGGCTTAAAACTACTTCCATCACATTAAAAATTTGTATCACAAATAGTTAGGTCTTTACTCTCCTCTCCATCTTGAACCCTGTCATTGGTCGATTGTTCTTCACCCCGTTGCGGGCATCTCCGTTCGTCAATTTGTTCGGTTTGCGGCTCTCGAATAAAATATCTGAGTCCGACTCGCTTTCCGACACCATAACTTTCCCCAAAGGCACTGTAACATAATTCAACATTGCTAATAGTCTAGTTGTTTCACTTTTGTTTGTACTTAACTGAAGACACTTGCATTTATTTTCACACAACATAAATATAACCAGAAAAAACTTGGAAACAGGTGAAATAGTAACAGATAATAATATAATTCATGTTATATTATTTTCTGTTACTATTTCACCTGTTTCCCAGCTTAATTTGAATCTTCATTATTGTCTAGAAAAGCGTAACTAAAATCTTACAGCGTGAGTCTTCGTTATTGTCTAGTAAGGCATAACGCTGCCTCTTGGAAGGACGTTGGCAACAGAGGCAGAGTCTAGAGCAGACACACACGAGGCCCCAAACACAGCCAACCACACATACGAAACATGTGAACAGTGCAATCACTACGTACAGGATACTCCAGTCTGGAAAATGAGATTCAGTAATAGAACATAAATCGTATGCATAAATCATAAATAACAACTTAGCTGGGTAGCTGAGTGGATAAAATGTTTGCATAACAATCGGTAAGCCGGTTCAATTCTGAGAAAAGTCAAAACTGGTTTCTGAGGCAAAATCAATAATGCAATACCCTTTAAATGTTCAAATACTGTATTAAGTGGTTTGCTGTAAGACATTAGATGAATAGAACTACTAACCTACGATCAATTAAATTACTTTTTTATTTTAGATCTACACTGTAAAGAGTGATTTACCTACCTCTGTGACAACACAATTAAAAAAAAAAATATTTTTTAAAACACATACGTACATAAACTGTTTGGTCTCTTGTTTACATTCAATTCTGATTGTGGTTAGACACTCAACAGAACGATAAGCTATTAAATTATAATTCATAATTAAACCTTTATATAAAGGTCAGAAATATTTAAAGTGAACTATAATAAATAAATCTCTAGAAATAAATCAAACGCAAGAGGGTGAGGCCCTGAAGAAAATTACCTTTTTAGTTACCATTCGTCTCTCCGCTAGGTAATAAGCATTAAAATGACACCTCATCGTAAAAATTAGTTAAATAGGACAGCTAGAAAAGGGATGTTAGAGGGAATAACCCTTACTGTATTACTGAAAAGTAAAATAAAATGTACAGACAAGTAAATACTATAACAAAAAAAAATGTTTTTGACAAAATATTTAGTTTTTTCACTTTACACTAAGGCCTACCTTTATAAGGACTAAGGAGTGTTTTGGTAAAAATTAGAAACACCCTTTTTCAGTAAGAAGGGTAGGAGTTTCAGTTTAACAACATTTTGAACTAAAAAGAATTTCTAAATTAGCACCAATAAAGTTTTACGATTGAGATTTTTTTTCTTAGATAAAAAAATACTAAAATTTTTATTTTTTACCACAGTTGGAGTCACCGTCCCCGAAGTGTTTGCGGAACAAATCCTGCATCCAGAAAGCCTCGCACATACATTGTCTAGTGGCCTGGTCACACACGCCGTGGCCTGCAACAAACACATTCTGTTAAATATATAAGGGAAAGTCTGTGTTTGTTTGGCTGTAAACTATTGAAGTTAACTTTGATATATATTTGACATGTGATAGTTTTTTTTCCTAAATAAGAGACATTCTTTAATAGCCACCACAAAAAGGCATATTTTTGTGATGTTATGGTGCTAGATTTTAAAAACTCATACAATGACAAATTCTCTCATTAGCTTTTCAAAAACTAATTGCTAAGTGGTGGGAGTAACTGTGACATTTGATGGGTAAAATTGCAACATCTTTACAACTGTGATTTTTACAGCATTGGTGGTTGTACCATTTTGTTTAGAGTTCAAAGGGCCATTACACATTAAATCAAAATTGTTTTTTATGGAAAAATTACTATTAAGAAACACCATTAAACAAATGAAAATATTGCCTGGAGATACCATGGTTTAGTACCCACATGGCACATACTGTACCAAATTCCACCACAATCCAACCACAGGTGTAGTCTGTAGCTCTGTACACATCTACACACACAGACACACTTTGAAAACTACATTTTGGGTTCAGAGGAATCAAAAATTACAGCAAAAATGTATATCCCCCCAAAACTCAACTAAAAAATGTTGAGGGAAACCATACTGTCTCCATATACTAAGTATAGGGGGAGAAAGTAAAAGTAAGTCATTGTAAAACAGCTTTGAGTAACCCGACAAACTGTCCAACGGACCTGAACAATTGTTTTGGCAGACTGTTGTCTGGATGTTGGCGACACTGAGCTGTAACAACACAGAGTCTTGTGCCAACTTGTTACGCAGCGTTCGAACCACCGAGGGACCGGGCAGAGCGCCGTGGGAGGTTGTCACATAGAACACCAGGACTGCTCTACCAGTTGCTGCCTGGGGACCGAGGAAGAAGACTAATAAAACCTTGCAATCAATCTACCAATATAATACATGCTAGAATTTTAGAAAAAAGGTGAGTACTGTAATAAATTTCATATAAGATAACAGAATATCAGCACAATGAGAACACAAAATTAAATGTATACAGTACAGGGTGTCCCTTAGACACGTACCAATAAATTTAGGAATACTGGTTTGATGAGTCAAAATAAAACGAAAACCAGAATACACTTTTTTTAGCTAGATATAGGCCATTTTGTGTTTTTTATTTATACCTCAAATGTTTCTTGAAACATTTTTGAGGATGGTTATCCCGCGCGAGACAAAGTCAAGTCGACCATACTTACACGGTGAACACCTATTTCACGGACTAGTAACGTAATATACTCTATTACTTATATTTACCGTCTTAAATGTTAACAGTCTGTATATAAGTCGGATAATGTTGGAAGACACATTTTATCCATTATTCCTTCACTTAAGCTAGTATTTTGCTTGTAATGGATATAAAACTTTACAGTTCACTTTCAATCTTTAACTCTTCTTCTACATTAAATATTTAGATTCCTACCATCTACTGTACTCTGTCACACAATTGTTTTTTGTTTACAAAAATCCAACTCGTCATAGAGTTTAATATAAAAACAACAAACATAGAGAAAGTACCTTACAAAATTAACAACATGATTACATACACAAAACAACAAAAACTGGTCACAAGACAACATTGTTATATTCCAATTCCTCGGCCTTAATCACAATATTGCAGACAATTACCTCAGTCTGCAGAGCTCTAACAACCAGACTAGCTGCATCCCGCAGCAGCAGTCCCAGCTTCATGACAACAGAGTCACTGCGGGACTTGGTCAGCTGACTAGACTCAATGTTGAGAGTCAACTCTACCAGGTGGTACAGATGGGGATCTGTCAACACATACCAGCTTTATTTATCTCTAGGTTATGATTAAACTATGGATGGGCCGATTCCCGTTTTTCAATAACAATTCCTGTTCCGATTATTCTGTGATATTGATTCTCGATCCTGATTCTATAGGTTTATTTGTATTAAAAATTATATACTAATATATACTCATGTTATGTGAATATAGGATTTTACTCATTAATTTATATTTTAACCCTCCACACCTTACATTGATTTTGAAACAGTGAACACTCACAGAGTTTTTTCTTGGGTAATGAAATCATGGACAAACAGTTTGAATATATATATGAATATATTGAATGCAATATTTTATCCATTTGTTACCATGTGAAAACTCTGTGAGGTCACCTCTAAAGGGTTAATGGTACAGTAAAACCTCACTAACTCAACTCAACTATTTGTGGACCCAGATTTTGTTGAGTTATCCAGAACATTGAAGTTCATAATGGGGTTTTATAAATGAATACATAATTACAAAAATACTTACATGCATATTTTTATATATTGAGTAAACAAACCTTCAAAGAAATGTCAAACTTTCAACAATTGAAACTAAATGCTCTGATAAAAAACTTTTTTATGTGCGTCCTTCCTGTCACCTGTTGACTGTCAAGTTAGTGAGTTTTCACTGTACTATTAATATAAACTAACTAAGAACAAACATACAAGCCTTGAAAAAATGTTTTTTCAAGAATATGCAGGGTGAATAAAAAGTCAAGACCCCCCTTCTAATATTTTTTCAAGTAAATATACAGAGATATCCTTTTGGTAGTTGTGCAATCTTAGCAGGAAGTTTCATTTTATGATTTAGAAATTTTTGAGTGTCCCCCCAAAAGGGGGGATTTGGGGGGCAACTCAAATATTTTAGATATAAACCCCCTTCAAGTGACACCTCATTTTAAAGGGTTTACAAACACTTAAAGAATGGTGAAAACTAGAGGTTGCTTTCTCTTCTCTATCCGAAATGGTAGCCCGTCAAATATTGTAGAAAATCAATGGTAAAATTGGTTTGTAATGGTAATATTGGCTACCATTTTGGATAGAGAAGAGATAGCGAACTCTGGTTTTCACTATTCTTTAAGTTTTTGTAAACACTTCAAAATGAAGTGTCACTAAATGGGGTTTAACATTTAAACATTTTGAGTGCCCCCCCCAAAAGGGGGGGATTTGGGGGGTAACTAAAAGTGTTTCTACGTAAATCCCTATCAAGGGGGTCTTGACTTTTTATTGACCCTGTATAATTTTTTTTATACTACCATATCAGACAACAAATTAGTCACGTTTTAGTGTACACAAGAAAGAAAAAGAAATGTACAGTAAAATTCAAAAACTACAAAGAGATTTTAGAGAATGAATCGTTTTGTAAGGAAAATACACAAATGTAGAAAGGATTGCCAAACAAATACAATGAAAGGTTCGTTTAAACTTCATGTAAAAGCTTACGTTGCCTTGATACTACAGATTACAAACATCAATTAGGTTTTGAAAGTAAACACACACATGGTTATTCCTTATAAATATTGATGGTTTGCTGACCTGGTTTAACAATGACAGAGACAGTGTCTTCGTCCCATTCTCCTTGTTCATCCGTAACTCTCAGACGGAACAAGTAACGACCAGCCACAACGTTGGTCAACTGGAAGGCAAAAAAAGAGAATCAAGCCCTAACCAAAGTTGTACTGGTTTATACATTCAAACTATGTATAAATGAAGGATGTGAGTATCAAATAACTTAGAGGGAATAAACCAGAGTCAAGTTATTTACGCAAAGTGGCACTTTTTTAAACGAGAAACATTTTTTGAGACGTACAAGACTTGCCAGTAATTTTATTGAGTTAATAAAAGAAACTTTCATCTTCAATTGCACATTATTTTGTCAACAGTTTTGAATGTGAAAACAACAAAATAATTGTGTTCAAAAAGGTTCTTACAACATTGAGTTTAGGATATTTAGCTAAGCTGTATTTTTGAGGCGACGTAACAAACAATGTAATTTACAACTTTTCAACTACTACTAATACTAAGATACTCTTTATTTACAAACTGTTAACTTCATAAATAATAATTACTTCATTGTTTAACTAATAAAACGTTTGTTTGTTCCTTTATTACATTTTACATGCAAGAATTAATTTAATCTTTATACAACCCATTTTCTGTTGATAACCATACAATTAAAAACATAGCCTAAAGTTTGTTTTGTTCAGTTGTCCAGTGTGAGGATAATTAGTGAGCATTTAGTGGACAATGTAAAATGTTGAGCAATCAGCTGTATTGCAAACTAATTGAAGTGAACCAAATGTCACTTTGTATCAAAACTGTAGGCCTACAGTACAAGTACGGTCCACGAGAGTCTGCAGTTGAGGGAGGAGATTATTTACCACGTGACTTTGAAGGAGCCAATGAGGACAGTGCGGTGTTGCCAAATCTAATAATACCAGCTGATTTGAAAATATTGTTTAGTATATTTTATTTAAAGTCGGAAATTAGTGAACGGGCAATGATGCAACGTCGCGCTAGTCCAGTCTTGCTATTGGCTGCTGCCAACTGCAGACTCTCACTCGTGGCCCTAGTGTAGTAAAAAATACTGATAGCTACTTACTTCAAGGCTTGCTTGAAAATGCAACTACTCACCATGAGGGTTGGTGAAGTGTCGGTGCCGGCTATGATGGTGCCGATAGCGAGGCTGGTGGGTTCCCGGGTCCACAGCCACTTGGCTATAGCCAGGTCATCCCGGGACTGAGACCCGTTGAGTACGAGCACGTCTACAGGCAGTTCTACAGTGTGGTCTCCTCCTGCATTGGCCTTGGGCGGGGAGTTACTGTCTGCGGAAAAAATACAACTTCAACTTTTGCTGTTGCACCTTCACGTTCTAGTACGCTAGGCTCTAATTGAAACTATTTTCACATTACTTAGGCCTAATTGTTCACAGCATTATTAGATAAGAATGCATTGGTGATTGACAGGATTTGAACCCAGGACACAGGGACCAAAGTCCCGCGTTGTGCTGTACCAGACCAACTTACTTCCTGATGCAACTTTAAATGGATAGTATAATATTCATCTTAAAATGGATGGTAATACACAGAGTAGTAGCTACATGTTCTTCAGTTATCTGACCATTTATACAGACAATCCAGTATCAAGAAATCTGTGCCATTAGTTGAAGCACCTCAATAACTGGAACCTTAATATCTTAAAATCTTTGATATCTCAGATTTTTCATAATCCCCTTGAAATCCTGAGAGTCTGCAATTTGTTCATTAGCCTAATGATTTACACTACAGATAGAGGTAAAATAATAACCGCACTCAGTAAGATGTTGGTAGGTTAGTACAAATATTTTAACTTAAAACGAAGTAAAGCCAACTTTTACAACCCCTTAGCGTTTATGGCAGAAAAAGGCTTAGGCCATAGCGCTTCTAGGATTGAAACTATAATCTCAAATCACACGTAAGAGAAACAAGATTTACTCACTCTGGGTGACAGTGACTCCGACAGTGTTAGTGGCGATGTTGCCGTTACCGTCCGTCACCGTCAGTTTGAACACGTACTGCCCCTTAGTGAGTCCGGTCACGTTGGTAACACTCTCGTTGTGCGCACTGAACTCCACATTGCCTGGACCACTGTTAAATGAAAGTATACAAAATTAAAGTATTTACATTGAGTTTATGAAATAATGAGCTTTTGACAAGTATTTCAAGAGATTAAGACCACACCTTTGATCTAGGCTATGCCATATGAGTCAACGTCATCGCTTTGATGGAAAATAGATTTTGTAAAAGTGATACTAATTGTTATTTTTATTTACTACGCTGAGGTGGTAGCCATTATATCCTCTCATATTTGACCACTGATTTTGAGACTTTGGAGTCATTGGAGGGAGAGAAAATGTCAAATCCAACATTTTGATAAGATTTTTAGATCTTCAACCTAAAAGGTTTGCACATCTCCAAACCATTTAAACAATGTTGCAATGTCTAGTTAAAAGAGTTCAATAAGCATAGTGAATCTTCTAAAGTTCTCTATGGGGAGTCGATTACCCAAAGGTTATGGTTATGGAGCAGACAAAACAGAAGACAGTAGTTTATTTTAATTAGGATTAAACACATTAGAAGCAAAAGCTAGACAAGTAGTATGATTAAAGCTAAATCATTAAAATGACATGTAAAAAACAAAAACTTAATTTAATTATTTTCTAAATGGCCCTACTTGTTTGTATATAGATGCCCATATTTTCTTTATTTATAACTAATTTCAACTGACATAGCTCATAATTTGACACTTTATTCAGTTATCACTACAAAAATACTTAATAATGAAAATACTAAATAATGATCTGATGATTGATTTTTTAAAGATTTTTTTTATTTGTGGAGATGGTTCATGTCATTTGTCATAACATTTTAAACATAACAAAAATATTCTATGCCTAGCTATAATATATTTTTAAATTACACATTCAAACCCCTACCTGACCATTTCCCAACTCCAAGAGACAATTTTAATATCATCAGAACTTTTGCTTCCATCCAATAGTACGGTAGTTTGAGGCAGTGAGACAGTTATGTTCGTTCCGGCATTAGCTGAAAACAAGAAGATCGGAGGTAGAGAAGAATCATTCAGAGTAAAGTGTTGTGTAGTTTCAAAGTGATTTTTTAACATGGATTTAAAAAAAAATTAAAACTTTGCCTTGGGATTTAATAAAAACTTCTGTAGGTCAATAGAGGTAAGAAACTATGTTACTTTGCAACAACAGGAACGTTCCTTGGATTTTTGGCAATGCTATTATTTGTGTCACTATTACTTCCTTATCAAGAACGTTTTTGGTTGCTGTTATTAGTTATTGTTATTTGTGTTGTTTGTGTTGTTGTGTGTTAGTTATTGTTATTGTGTGTGTGCTGTTATTGTTGTTTTTTTTTTAAATCACTTGTTCTAACTGTTAAGACCAGGAAATAATATAATCGTATTCTCAGTAATCTTTCACCAAGGTATTATATTATTTTGTGATGTTCGCTGTCAATAAGAAGACAAGCAGTAATGTGAACCCTTCAGATCCAGCTGGCTGCTGGCGATATTGCCAGCGGCTGGTTAGTAGCGGCTGCTAAACAGCCTAGTGTGACCGCGGCTTAACTGTTCAGATAACGTTATAATAATTGTATTGTATTCTCAGACCTCAGTAATCTTTCACCAAGGTACAGTACACTCTCGACTATCCGAGACCTGGTTATCGGAGCCCTCGGGTCATCCGAGGTCATTTTAGGCCTAAATACGGTCAGGAAACAATGATTTTATTTTTATGATATTTCTGTTGAAGTTAAAGTAATATGCAATTTGGGATTTCTCAAATTAATACTTTATATAATAATTAATGATCACAGATATTGTTTTAACATACTAATGATCTACAATAACTTAGAAAATGAAAATCACACACAGTACTAGGTTGGCCGGTAACTATTGGTAAGGAGGATGAGTCGTCTGCAGAACGTCAAAAAATCAGTAGCATTTCTGCTCGGGCATTGCCAGCTCCTATAGCGTTTTGACAGCGATTTTCATTACAATCTTTTAATATTGACATGATCATGTCAAGTACAGTTCAAGTTAAACTCAAACAAAGATTAATTTTACACTTTAAAAACTATAAGGACCCACCTTATTCTGTTTTTATTTAATCCTGTAGAGTGTTGACTTGGAATAATTTAATAATACTGTATGTACAGTTTTACAAGACAATATAAGAAGTGTAAGCATGTTTGAGTTGATGTTTACCTTAATAACACTGCCTTATTACATTTTCCATCAAAATACCAAATACTATCATTTTGCATTTAAATTCACTATGCATTGTTATTAAATTATATACATTATAAGTCTTTGACTTCCTAATGTGGTACTGTAACCCCTAACCTCAAAATCTAAGAGACCTCCATGTCATCCGAGATTCTCGGTAACCGAGGTAGTCTCAGTCCCAACAACCTCGGTTAATCTGGAGAGTGCTGTACTATGTTATTTTGTGATGCTCACCGTCAATAAGAATACACGATCAGCGGGATAGTTATTTCATTTTTCGTACAAATAGTTCTAATGAAAGTTCTGTAACTAAAATAACAGGAAATGAAATAATATTTTATTTCCCAATTGAACATTGAGGAAAACTTCAGTAATAGTATTATTTACCCTACATTAAATAATGACACACGTCTATGACAGCACAATTTAGGAGTTTCAATCATACAACTACAGTACCATGCTTAAATGTTTATATGCATATGGTTCACTCACCAGATGGTGGTTTGTTGGTGGGAGGTTTGACAAACACATGAACAGTTGAAGTGTCCGACTGATCGGCTTCATCGGTCACTTTCAGTATGAACGTGTACATCCCCTCCTCCAGATTGGACAGCTCGAGGTAAGGGGTGCGTGTTTTCTGTTGCAAAAGATAAAGAAAAACTAAATCTTTACCATTACTTAAACGGTGTAGTGGTGTCAAAATTACACGAAGAATCATTTTTCATTTGGCTCTACAAGATAAGTAGAATATAACAAAATAGTCATCAACAAAACAGAGTTAAAGATAATCGAGAGGGAGTCACAATCTAACACTTAATAACTAAGACATAAATAATGACATTAGAATTTTTTTTTAATTTTGTCGGAGCATCGTTTCTTCTTAAGGTAGTCATAATCCACAAGCATTAAAATCAAACACTCAACATGTATGACAACAGTTGTACAACAACATAAACTCCTGCCGGTCGAGTTCTAGTCACGCGTGTTTGTTTTTAATGAGTGTGTGTTTTAATGTTCCCATCCTTGAAATGCAGATGATGGCTGCAAAGCAAGCCAAAACTAGTTACCACTGCAACCGGTTGGACTGGTTATAAAGGTAAAACCAATAGGATTACTGATAATACAGGTATTTAAACTACTTTCAGTATATCTTGGTGATCTGTAGGCTACTCCTCTAGCAAAATCATAATAAATAAATTCAAAATAGTTTTTAACAATACTGAGAAATATTTTCTTTTAACAGTAGGAGAATATTTTCAGTTGGGTAGCCTCTGGATTACTGATTTTTTATACTTTAAAATGGTTTAAATACCTGCATAAAGTCACCACAGCAACTAAGGATTACTTTACACAGTTATTTAAACCATTTCAAAGTATAACAATATTTTGAAAATAATATTTTAATATTAAGAAAAAATAAAAATACACTCTAGAAAAACAGAGAATAAAGTTTTTTAAAATTCAAAGTTTTACAATTGAATTAACCTGCATGTCAACAGCTTTATCCTGGTCAGACGGGCTTTTCGTCCACTCCCAGCTGACGATGGCCTTGTCGTCTGAACTGAGACTGCCGTTGAGAGTGACATTATTGTGAGGCAGGTAGAGTATCACGTCTTGGCCTGCATTGGCCACTGGAGGATAATCTGGCATCTGCAGTACTGTGATGTTGGCTACTGTAGAGTTCTTCTCATGGTCAGAATCTTCCACTGTTAGCCTACGGGAAAGAGGTCACTTTAATCGTCTTTAATATCAAGGTTTGGTTTGTTGGTGAACAGATCTGACCTTGTTATTAGCGAAATTCATACATAGCGATAAGCTATTGTCTCAGAGTAATACCTAGATACGGATCAATTAAAAAACAAATTTTATGTTCTCAGAGGCAAAAAACACCATCAACAAGTTTGAGAACTAGAATTATTGGGTTATAAAAAACGTGTTTTAAATCTTTTCACGCTCAAAACAAAATATTTCACAAATACTTAATAACATTTTTGTTTAGAGCTTAAAAACAAATAGTTTTGTATATTGAAGTGTTGTCTTACAATAATGGTTACAGGAAGAATTATCATGTTATTCTTATGGAAAAAAAGTAAACAGTTGTTGTTGTCCATAGATATATTTTTATCAAATTTGAAAAAATGCATTTATTTCATACTACTATTGACATTTTATCAAAAAAGACTTCTTCCATAGCCACCTCTAATACAAGGCCGCGACGTTCGAACTGGCAACGCCGCACTCACCCGCCACCTGAGTCCGGCACTCGTGCTAGGCTATAAACATCAATGAGAGGATTGCTGCTCTGTATCAATGAATCAAAGTATTTAAATTACATATTTTTATGGATTTTAGGGTATGGTAAAATAGACAAATTAGAATCTAGGTTTTTTTATTTAGTGAAAAATGTCAACATACCACAATATGTCTAAAACTAAAAATACTAACATTATGTTTTTGGTTGCATTTATCGTATTGTAAGTACGATAAATGTGGAAATAGATGGACTTTACATATTTCCTTTGTTAATTTGATAATCTATACTATTATATAACAATCTCATGGTGTCTGTATATATGTGTGTTATTCAATATAGTAAAAACTACTAGACAGACTGGGCTAAATTTTACAAAATATACCTACTATACCAAGAATGGTAATACAGTAGGACTGACTAACTTATTGCCACTTCAATATTTGTAGAGACTTTGGGATTTGTAGAGACTAACATCTAACAATTTGTTTGAATAAAATTAATTTTCAATTTTCAATAGGAATATTATGTTTTAGTCTACCTGAGAAAACCATTATTTAGCGACAACAAAATTTGAGTTTTCATTTTGAAGGCATACTGACTATAAATAAATTATTTTCTTTGAATAAATTATTTAGCAAACATAATAAGCAAAACATTTTTCATTTTGTAAACGATTTCAGAAGCTAGGCCTCCATATGGCTTTCCACAATATTAATAGAATTGTTTTATCACATCAACATTCAGACTGGAGTCAGAGAATATGATGCTTTAATTGTTAGATGGTGTAGTACATATTTTTTACTAGTAGGCCTACTTAACAGAAACACCGGTTTATTTCTTCGAAGTGCTAGTTATTTAAGTTATTTTAATGACTTAACAACAGCTTTTATCAATAAGATAGACAAATAAACAAGGCATTACGGCATTACCACCTAAAACTCACTTCTCGCGTCTATATTTACATGAATCGTTGTCTTATTCTTACATTTTTTTACAAATCTAAGTTCATATTCGTGAAAATGTTTCACACAAAAACGAGAATTGTTTTAAGATGTCTAATTTGACCGATGAATAGCAGGAAGCTATTGTTGCTTAGCGGTGTATCACATAGAATCTTAGAACACTGTATGTATTATTCATTTTTAATTGAGCTTTTGTAATTATTCTTGCATCCAGCCATATCACATCTATTTGGCATGCTGTAGTAACAAGCTCAATGTAATTACTAATAATTAACGGTAGTAGAAACGCGATTATGTACGTCGGTACGCGACTCCTCCATTCACTGTAATGGTAAGACGGCCTCGCACCAAGACACGGATGCAACGTTGCCACTTTTCGCTCGCCGCGGCCTTGTATTAGAGGTGGCTGTGCTTCTTCCCTTACCTGTAGCACCAAACCTAAGTACTTGTTAAACCGAATTGCATTAAAACTGGAGTTAAATCTGACATCTTTCAGGAAATATTTTAGTGAAAATCCAATCAGGCAAAAGGAAATTTGCTTAGTCTGCAGGTTTCCTGCAGCGGGGTATATTTCATTAAGATGTATTTTCATAACAAATTGCATAAAATACATAACTATGATGGCCGTTCATCAATAATATAAAGTAGGCCTAGAATGATAAAAAGCCAAAACATGTGTATTATTTAAAAAGTGAGAACCTTTACAAAATTGTTATATTTTGAAACACTCATGAAAATGGTGTTATTAGACAGATTAGTTCAAAAGTTAATAGTTAATGTCCAACCCTGAATGTTTTAAGAAAATCACAAATTGAAAATTTAAAATGTAACTAGTTTAAACAGGCAACTTAAAAGTGTCGAATCATACGTATCTACATACAATGTTGATGTTACACACCTAATTTTGTTCCTCATCAAAGTTTCTGACTAGCTATTATTTTCTAATTTTGAAGATTGAACTTTTGTTTATGGTGAAAAAATGTTCACCTGGAGTCATGTGTTAACATTGGTGACCTATTTTTCATTAGTAACCTGTGATTTTCCCATAGTCAAAACAAACTATGGTTACATCAAGGGGAAATACAATATTTCTCGAAGTGGAAGAGAGTTTTCATCGTTTCTCGGAATTCCCTATGCAGCACCACCGATAGGAAATCTTCGCTTTAAGCCACCAGAACCTCCAACAAGATGGGAAGGAGTTAAGGACGCCATAGAAGAAGAAAAAATCTGCTCACAGGGTAAATATGGAGGTAAAGAAGATTGCCTTTTTGTTAACGTTTTCAGCCATCTAATGACAAACGGAACTCTAATGCCTGTCATGTTTTTATCCACGGAGGAGCTTTCTACATGGGTTCCTCGACATTAGGGTTGACAGGACCAGAATACTTCATGGACAAAGATATAGTGTTGTGACAGTGCAGTATCGTCTCGGGCCGTTCGGATTCTTGAGTTCCGGAGACTCTGTGATTCCTGGCAATATGGGCTTGAAAGACCAGGTGATGGCGTTGACATGGGTGCGAGACAACATTCGGTTTTTTGGAGGTGACCCCGGGAGAGTGACCTTGTTTGGAAGCAGCGTTGGAGCTTCTTCCGTCCATTTACATATGCAATCACCGATGAGCCAGCATTTGTTTGCAAAAGGAATCTTCCAAAGCGGAACAGCCCTGACTGCTTTTGCACTTACTGGGAAAGGCACTGCTAAAAGATCCATGTTACAATTTGCCGAACAATTACACTGCACCGATTTGAGGGAACTTATCATTTGTTTACAACTAAAAAATACTCAAGAAATTGAAGACGCACACAGAGTGCTGCAAAATTCTAGATATGCTATGACGAAGAGCATTTTTCGTCCAGTTGTCGAAATAGATCATGACAACGCTTTCATTACACAAAATCTATTTCTCGCAACAACTCATAAATCCTGGCTCTTGGGTGTTACTGCAAATGAGGGAATATTAGATATTCCAATAAAGTATTTGAATTACACCATAGAAAAGATTCAAAGTGATCCTACGAATTACCTCAGTAAAGCTTTACTTTTTGAGGATTTGTTTTTAAACGCTAGTGATATTGAAAAAGAAATCTTCTTTTTCAAAAACTCTACAACAAGACATGAAACAGTTGCTTCGATGGAGAAGATGTATTGGTGGTACCTGTGGCCTCTGGAGGAGTCAGCGAGGAGACACAACGGAACATTGTACTGCTACATTTACGACCATCTTGGAGAATTTTCTTACGTAGACATTTATAATAGTCCTCGTGGTTTTGGGGTGAGTCATCTCGATGACCTTATTTCACTATTCAAACATTCTAAATACTTTGGAGATTTAAATACAGTTAACAAAACTATATCTGAACTGATGGTAGACTTGTGGGTAAATTTTGCCACTTATGGAGACCCAACTCCTTTTTCTATCAGTAGAAATCCACAAGCATCTGGCTGCAAGGATTTTAAATGGGCAAAATCAGACAAGAATCGCTCTAGTTGTATTCATATTAGAACTGAGTTTCTCTCTAACAACAATATATTTACAAACCGGTTACAATTTTGGAGAAATGTTGTTATGGTTTATAACATTTAAAATTTATGAACTAACTAAAAAAATTATGTATAGAAAAAGTACAAATACTTGACGGTAATCTGGGTAAATGTAAAATTTGCAAACTTAGTAACACAAACAAAACCATCTTCTATTTGTATGTAGTTTATTAATCAATGTACAAAAAATAACCATATTACATAAATGTTATCTGATAAAAAGATAGGACATTTGCCAGGAATTATTAAGGAAATTGACAGGAAAGCAGGCTTACCAAATAAGTCCACAGAGACACATAAAATATACAACACAAAATTAGAAAATTTCGCTGGAGAAATGGCAATGGCAGTTGCAATTTTAATCTATTACACCTTGTCAGGGTTGCCAACACAGCTGAAGAGACTAGAAATTGTTTTTACTGATGCATATATATGAATATGTTCACTCATTATGAATAATCCACTATATTTACACTGTTTTAAATTTACACATGTACACATATATATAAAATATATATATACACACTAGAATGCTATGATAGGTGAGGAATATGGATCTACCATATTACATAACTTATTTTTCAAGGCACAAAGAAAACACCAAATCAAGTGCTAAAATCCACTTTTAGGCCAGGCCCTATAAAGCAATCCATTAGAAAATTGTCCTATTGTAACTTAACGTTTTATATTGTTGTAGAGTTCTGTGAGAAATAGAATGCAAGCGATGCCTATTTCGATCTAATAAAACTGTTATATTCCGGCTTATGTTAGACCGTGTTATTCACACCGACTTATTTTCTTTCGCCTCAAGCTGCTAGCAAAATACTGCATAGTTAATGCAGGTGTGTACATTTGTAAAGAAAGTTGGGTTTATTTTAGTGTTTGAACAAAAAACATTACAGAACTGAACAAAAGAAAAAATATATTCATTACGAGGCACAGATTATTCTATTAAAAGTGTTCTTATGACGATTGGGTGGCATAATCAACCATAATTTTTATTGATGAGTGATATAAAAAATTGTTGACAAGGTAAAAAAACATCTTGAACTATTCCTGACTTTTTCATCTCCATATTAATTTATTTTAATGATGTCAATTTTAACATATAGTAAATATAGTACAGTTCATAAGTTCCTAGTTGTCTTGTTAACTGTGCTTATTCAAAGTGTGTATAATACTAGGAATAACATTTAGATCCATGCCCAGCTTAGATAATGAGAAAGGAGTACGGTACTTTATTTTCATTCTTAAAAAAAGTTGTATTCATAGAATAAATAGCCTAAAGTGAAAAAATTACAGATTTAAAGTATTTATAACCAAGCATCTTTGGAAATCTACTGGACATAGAAAAGACATAGAATGGAATAGTAAAATGTGTTTAGCTTATTTAAAAAGGAAACAAAGGTTAGTAAATGTTGTTGAAATGTGGGGAAGAAAAGTACAAAGTCATCCAAATATATGTTTTTTAACTGGTTTATCAAAATTTCATTAAAATCGGAGAGCTTTTTAGTTTTATGTAGATCTACTAGCAACTTCTGTGTGAGTGTGACTATAGCTACTCGCTAAAATACTCAACTTCCTCCTACTGACCATGCATACATAATGTTTTATCCGATCATCTCAATCACCAAGGGTTCACCCTGAACTGATTACATGGCATTAGATCGACTTTCATTTACATATTTTTATCGTTGTTTCTGTGCTCAAACTCTAATGAAGTGAAACACTGACTTGCAGCCAACCATTGTGTTCATTATTTCACAATTTTTTTGCTCATTTCAAATTTTATACATGATGATAAGGCTGATCATTTTAATTGTTTCTCTTAATGTAATTGGGGCGATAAACTCAGATGAGATTCCAACTGTGCGTACTACAGACGGTTTACTACGGGGAAAATATATGACATCGGAAAATGGAAGAATATTCCAAGCCTTTCTTGGAGTTCCGTTTGCTGCGCCGCCCACTGGACCTCTTCGCTTCATGCCCCCACAACCTCATGGTAAGTGGGATGGAATAAGAGACGCTATAGAAGAAGGTAAGATGTGTGTGCAACTCAAGCCTGGGGGAGATGAAGATTGTTTGTACCTAAATGTTTTTACGACAGAAGAATCAAAGAACCGATCACTTCCAGTCATGGTGTACATTCACGGTGGAGGATTTTATGGCGGTTCGGCCTCTATCGATTCTTACGGTCCCGAAAAATTCATGGATGAAGACATTGTTTTAGTCACTATTCAGTACCGCCTTGGAGTGTTTGGATTTCTAAGTATTGAAGACAGTGTGATGCCTGGCAACCAAGGCTTAAAAGATCAGCGGTTGGCACTCCAGTGGGTACAAGAAAATATTGAAACTTTCGGTGGAGATCCTTCAAAAGTTACCATCTTTGGTAACAGCGCAGGTTCTGCGTCCGTTCATTTGCACATGATATCTCTTGGGAGTAAAGACTTGTTTTCTAGAGTAATTTCTCAAAGCGGGACTGCTTTTAGTGCATTTGCTTTCTCAGGAAAAGGAACATCTAGAAATATTACCCTAATTTTGGCCCAGACGCTGCAATGTCCAACAAATTCTTCAGCAGAAATACTACACTGTCTTCAAAACAAAAGTGTAGACTCGATTCAAAGAGAATATAGCAAACTTCAACACAGCAGTTACAAAATGAGGAAAGTATTATTTCGTCCAATAGTCGAAGTTGGAAGCCCACATGCGTTTTTAACTGAAAATCCACTAACTACATTTTCTAATAAACCCTGGATGGTTGGAATTGTTCAAAACGAAGGTCTTTGGAAGATACACATGCCGTCACTGAATGAAACAATACAATTTATAAAGACCGAACATAAAAAGTTTCTCCAAAGCATTTTATTTTTTGAAGACACTACTTCACAGCCAAATGAAATTGCTGATAAAATTTACGACTTTTATTTTAAAAACTCCACGACAGAGAATGATTTTGTGGTATCACTAGAGCATGTTATAACGGATTCATATTTTTTCTGGCCTACGTTTCAAGCACTGGAGCGACACGAAGGATTGACGTATTGCTACTTGTTTGATCATGTTGGACAACATTCTATCACAGAACTGTTCCAAGCCCCAAAGGGATTTGGAGTGAGTCACATGGATGAACTACTCTATTTGTTCCCGAGGAAACTATTTTTTCCAAGGGAAATGAACCAAGAAGACACCAATATTTCAAATCTTTTAATCAAACTTTGGGTGAACTTTGCGAAGGAAGGCAACCCGACTCCTACAGCAATCAGCCAGAGCCCACAGACTGTTAAAGATAAACAAATCACATGGGAACCATCAGTGAGTGGTGAACTCAAGTTTTTGAAAATACAAACCAATGCTTTATCCATGGTGAAAAATGTGTTTCCTCAGAGGATGAACTTTTGGAAACAATTACCTATATGGGATAAAATGCTGTAAGTATTGAGTAAGGTTATTTTTCAGAAAGTTGTAACTTAAATAAATGAAAAAACTGAATCTTGATAAAATGTTATCTTACCTAGACCCAGCAAGAATAAAGCAAAATAAAATTATTCTGATTGTGTATATTCTAGTTTAATTGATTTCATCAGTCTTGCTAGTAACAACATAGTTCTAAAACGAAATCAAAATTAATCCTAACAATATTAATTAAGACAAATTACCTCAAAGTTTTTCTTTCTTTGCGGTCAATAATGGTCATACAAATTTTTTGGTATTGAACAAAGGATGATTATGATAGTATGTCATATTTTTAAGGTCTTAAAAATGTACAAAACAATTCATTAGCATTCTTTTAATCATAATGAACTTATATAGTACTTTAAAACTTTTCATTGAAATGGCATGTACACAAAGTAAGTCTTTCAACATAAATCAGTGATTTTGTTTTGTTAACGTAGGTATAGACTTTTGACAAAACCCTTTTCTTCCTTCAGATATCATAGTTATTACATTATAGCTGATTACATTATAATTGATAAAATTTACCTTTTGATTATATTTTCTTACTTTTAAATCACAGAATGTGTCATAAACTAGAAGATAGTTTGTATACAATGTCTAGATTGCTACTTAATTAAGAAACACTGGAAAGTTTACATAAGACTTTGAATGTGTATAGATCACAAGTCAACAAAAATTACAATACATTTACAGGCGATAAAAATACAGGTGTCCTATTGAAAAAGAAGAACCACTTCATCCTATAAGAAAAATGACAGTTTTGAATAATTTTGTTGAAGCCAAAATGGGCTTTACGATATCTAATAGACCTACAAGGGATTTAGTTGTTCCGGTAAATCATATATGGAATTTCATTTCAAAAGGTAAATATTTTTTTCGGACATATAATGTTTACCAATTAACAAATAAAAAAGCACGATCTTAAACCAAGAAATTACTTAAGCACCACAATTTGTCTCCATATTAAGTTCTTGCCAAAACGCCATCCGGTGGGAAAACAATCCATGCTTTAATTCCAAACCATCTGTTTTTATATAAAGATATTTACGATCTACACTATTTGATCTTTCCCATGTAAAATTACCTGGTTCAAGATTTTGGGGGTTTTCACTGATGGGGTGTGGCGTTGGATTACCCTCAATTGCAAAATTTACCCAAAGATCCACCATGAGTTTTGAAATATTTGCATCTTGATTGTTAAGAGGAGGGAAAACATCGTTGGAAAAGAGTGAAATAAGCTCATCGGTGTGTGCAACACCGAATCCTTGAGGTGAACCGTAATACTCCACCATTGAATGTTCACCCAAATGGTCGTACAAGTAGAAGTAAAACGTTCCGTTGTACTTCGAAACCGCACGCTCTGTCGGCCAAATGAACCATGAATCTGCAATTAACTTTTCGAGAGACTTTATTGCGTCATTTGTTGACGTAACATTCCTCATGTAAAAATCATAGATTTTACTTACTTCCTCTAAGTTTTTGCAGTTATGTAAGAACATCAACTCAGGTCCTACAGTACAAAAACTTGAATTGACAAGATGTAAAATGGAATTCAATCTAGCTTTAGGTATAAAAATTATTCCTTCATTTGCAACCACCCCGACCATCCATGGTTTGTTTGTAACATATTCTAAAGGGTGAGACGTCAAAAAAGCATGTTCAGATTCCACTTCAACAACAGGTCTGAGTAAAATTCTGTTGGTTCTAGTTTGTACTATCTCAGCGTGAGCAGTTGTTATCTCGTCTACAGTTTTATTTTGTAAACAAGAGATAATTTCACTTGAGTTCAAGCTTGAGCAGTTCAATTTCGAGGCAATGATATTTGTAATGTTTTTGTTAACACCTTTAGTAGCTAGTGCGAATCCACTTAGTGCTGTTCCACTTTGAGATATGCCTTTAGCGAACAGATCTCTACTGATGGGGGAAAGCATGTGAAGATGAACCGAAGCACCTCCAGCGCTATTGCCGAATAATGTCACTTTTCCCTCGTCGCCACCGAAATATTTGATGTTTTTTTGTATCCACTGCAAAGCTTTCACTTGGTCTTTCATCCCCATGTTACCAGGGATAACTTCATCTTCAGTGCTTAGAAATCCTAGTGGTCCGAGTCTATATTGTATCGTCACCAACACAATGTCTTTATCCATTAAGAAATGAGGTCCAAGAACTTTTGTAGATGACGAACCAATTCTAAAACCACCGCCGTGGATGTACACCATTACAGTCCTTGCATCCTGAGTTAAGTTTTGAGTGAAAACATTCAAATACAAGCAATCTTCAGAACCTCTTCCGATGGTTTGTATACATTCATCGCTTTCCTCTGAGTTCCTAACACCTTCCCATGCTTGAACTGGTTCTGGAGGAAAGAATCTTAGTTTTCCGACTGGTGCAGCTGCGTACGGAATTCCTAGAAATGCACAAAACTGTTTTCCACTCCGTGACACCATCACTTTGCCCCCCAATCCGCCATTATCTGTCCAAGTTTCACATAGAGTATTTGTATCTACTTGTGTGCATTCCAACTGATGTGTCATAAAAACTATTATGAGAATCAATAAATCCATTCCTAACATCCAATTTGACATACGGTTTTTAATTTCTCAAGTCTTATAATGGCCAATGTAGTAGAAAAATGTATCAAATGTTCATTTCACACTCGGACAAGAGTCACATATGATTCAGTATTTTAGCGTCCAATTGAGATTATACATGATAATGGAATTCGGTGTTCAATTCCAATTGTATTGAAATGAAGCTGGGATATCCTCAAAATTGTAAAATAAAAGTTTCTAAAGTATAATTAACATTATCTGAGTGTTCAATTGAGTAGCCAATTTCATCCAAGCAGCAGAAAAAAATGTAAATTAAATTAATACACTTAGTAAATTAAATACTAAAGATAGAAAATTGTCCTAGACAGGCTACCAATAAATAAAGTATTATTATAGGTAGAATTTCTATCAAATTCAAGTGTTTGTAAACTTCACAATAAGTATGAATTCTCAATCAACTATGTATAAACTCACAAAGATAGAACTGCATTCAAAACATCAAACCAGCCGAGTCAGTAAAGTAAAGCTAAACAATACTATGACCCCTTAATTATCACTCCATTATCATAAAACACTGAGATTGACAGATGTTACACTAGGCTTGAGTTGTAAGTGTACCATTCTGTGTACTAGTGTTTGTGAATGAATACAATGGTAGAGAGTTAGTAAATCTAAAGACATTAACAAAAAAATATCAAATAGTAAACGTACATAATTTATCACCGTCCCCAATGCCTACATTTGAAATGAAAGTGACTGTTATTTTGAGTGCGGTTTTTGCAGCGAGGATTTTCCAGCTGGCAGCTTCCAGTGATAGGTGCACAACAACGACTCAATATGGGTTAGTAAGAGGAAAACCTATGACATCTCGGAATGGAAGAGAATTCTGTGCCTTTTTGGGAATACCTTATGCAGCTCCTCCAATAGGAAAACTGCGTTTTATGCCTCCTCTCTACCCGACATCTTGGGAAGGTGTAAAAGATTCCACAGAAGAAAGTGACAAATGTTTGCAAAAAGAACCGGGTGGTTCTGAAGATTGTCTTTATCTAAATGTGTTCACTCACAGCACAAACTCCTCCAGTTCATTCCCAGTTATGGTATTTATCCATGGTGGAGGATTTTTCATGGGTTCTTCCTCTTTAGGCTGGACAGGCCCAGAATACCTGATGGAGAAAGATATTTTGCTGGTGATCATACAATATAGACTCGGACCATTTGGCTTTTTGAGTACTGAAGACACAGTGGTTCCTGGCAACATGGGTTTGAAAGACCAAGTGAAGGCGTTACAATGGGTTCGGGACAACATAGAATCATTCGGAGGTGACAAAGACAAAGTGACAATATTTGGTAACAGCGCGGGCAGTGCTTCTGTACATTACCATATGATGTCTCCGACAAGTCAATCACTGTTCTCTAGAGCTATCAGCCAGAGTGGAACAGCTGTAAGTAGTTTTGCACTGATTGGAAAAGGTAAAGCAAAAAGAGACACAGAAAAGCTAGCAGACAAGTTAAACTGTTTTAGCACCAGTTCAGAAGAAATTCTTAACTGCCTACAGGACAAAACAGCGACTGAATTGCTCCAACAGTTTTTAAAACTTCTCAAATCCAAATACGGTCAATCTGATAAATTATTCCGCCCTGTTGTCGAAGTAAACACCGAACATGCTTTTTTGACCAAACATCCACTAACGTTCACCACTCACAAACCATGGCTTGTCGGTCTAAACGCTAAAGAAGGACTTTGGAGGGTAGATCAGCGGGTGAACAATACAATCAACTACATTGAAACCGACTTTGAAAACTTTGGTCCGTTCATGACCCAATTTGCAGATTTGTATTCAAACTTGGATGAAATAATGAATCAAACTTATCAGTTTTATTTTGAAAACCCCAAATCGACGGAAGATTTAGCAATGTCTCTGGAACAATTGACAACAGACACCTGGTTTGCATGGCCGACAGAGTTGGCGATTACACACCACCAAGGTCCGTTGTACTACTACTTGTACGACCATTTAGCGAGGTACACTTACTCACAAATGTACCACATAGAGCCAATACATAGAGGAGCGATTCACACCGATGAGTTACTCATGTTGTTCACTCAGAACGGTACTTTTCCACCAGTGACTGGAGAAGATTTGAACATATCAGAGCTGATTGTGGATCTATGGACCAACTTTGCGACAAATGGTAGCCCGACACCAACCCCAGTTAGCAGTAACCCTCAAGACGACTCTGCCGAGAATATAACATGGACCGAGTCCGGGAACTCTGATCCGACGTTTTTCCATATTCAAACCAACAAATTGTCAATGGAGACCAATCTATTTCCGGAGAGGATGAGGTTTTGGAGACGAGTTGAATTTCACAGAGTAGAATGAGAGCATGAAATACGGTAGGAGTATTAAAATCTTAAATATTTATGTAATTATCTTATTCAGTTTTATTTTCTTGAGAAATACTAGTGAAAACATTATATTTGATTAAAAATATCCAAATCATAAAATAATTCAATATTTCTTACGGGTTGGCAAAAGATACAATAAATAACACAGATTTTAGTTACAATTTTAGTCTCTAAACAAATTTAAACAAAGTTGGAAGTCAAAATGTTAATATTTTTACGTTTTAACATTAAATATATGAACTCTTTATACTTTTACAGGAATCTATTTATTATTTTATTATATTAAAGTCATAATAAGCAGATGAAATTATTTAAGTGTTGGGCATATTAGAAATGTCTTCAAGCCTATTATTATCAAATTAAAATGTTTGGATTTTATGTTTATCGTTGTGTGCTCAGGTGACTAATAAAATGTTAAATGGATTTTAACAGTTTTAAAAAGTGTTGTTGAAGCTGAAGGTATTACCAAACCAAGAATAAATATGTTTTTACAAATTGGTTGTGTAAAATTGTATTTATTTATACAACTGTATAGCAAGTTGTTTATGATCTTAATACAATATTTGTTTATAGTTAAGTTTTCCAGTAATAGATTAGTTAACAAGAAGAAGATATCAAAGGAAAACAAACATTTTTGTTAGGAGTTTCTAGTATAAACCAGAAAATAGTTTTTGCCGACTTGTCTTGACAATCATGATGTCCGTGATGGACAACCGTTAGTTAATTCTTGACAAAGGTTTTATTGTGTATTTATTAGTACTAATGTTAAAATTATCAGCTCTTCTTAGATGTTTAAATGTTATTTTGATTGTTTTTCTCATTCTATTGGATATATTTTATATTGCAGTTCTACGTACATTAAAGCTTATACATACATATTTTTGGTGATTTATGTACACTGTTGATTCCTCCTGTATAAAAATGTGCAATGATGTTGGAATTAAATAAATTAGAAAGCTCTCAAATAAGCTTTTTTTGGTCATGTGGTGATATCGTAGCAATCATGGCAACATCTATCATTTTCCAAGATCAAGAAGTCAAAATACCAACGTAACATTGTTAATTAATAACTTTCCAACCATAGGCTATTAGATATTCCAAATTTCCCAGTCTCATAAAAAATTTACAGACTTTTCCCAGTCATCGAAATACATTTATAATTCCCAGTTTTCCGATCAGCTGGACCCTTGAGCAACAAAACAGAACTAAACCTGTTATGTTTTATATAGCTACTCACGTGAAGGTGTAGTTGCCAGTGATGTTGAGATTATTCAGCACCAGCGTAGGACTGTCCTGCAGAGTCGGCTGGTAGCCGAGAGGTCCTTTCTGCAGTTCCCAATGCCAAGCTATGATGGCTGCGTCATCGTAGCTAGACGACCCGTCCAGCACGGCTCCCGTGTTCGGCAGCTTTACCGTTTTGGACGCCGGCTTCACTATGGCCACAGGTGGTTTGTTGATCCTCTTAGCTGGTAAAACAAAGCAATACTTCAGATAATTACTTCTTTTCGAAATGAATATTTTAAATTTTACTTGGCCTACACCAGTCAAAGCAATGTATCTGAGTGATTGTTGTTACGAGAAAAAAATGTAAAAAATGTCTGTCTATCACATTTTACTGTCTAACACATCTAAAATCTTAGATTAAAGTTAGCCTATTTAAAAAAACCACAATATATAAACCTTTTAAAAACAAGAGAATTGTAGCTTGTGATATTAAAAATGAATTTAAGCAAAGATTTTATGTTGAGTACGGTGAACGATTGGTTGAGGTTTGGTTTGACAAAATATGCAAATAAGGTTTAAATAACATGAGCCTGTGTTTAACAATTATATAAACTACACTGATATCAATTTACACTTACCCAGATAATTTTTTGTTTGATTAACATTTTTAAATCACTATTTTTTGCTTGGTGAAGGAACTATTCCGTCTTTCTCAAAATTGCATACTACAGTATAAGTCATACTACTTATAAGGTTTAAACAATATCAAGCATTAAGCATTTCTATACCTACCGAGTTAGATTTCATTTGAGATTATAAGGAAATGAAAATCATGGTTTTTGTTTATTTCTTTTATTAAGGAGGTCGAAAATAAAACTAATTAGCCTACAGTTTATTAAAGTTCTTCAAAAGGAAAGATTGTGAAAACATTCAAATCCTGTTTGTTTGGAGACATACTCTACAGTCTAGTATTTGAAGATTTTTTTTAAATGTTACTACTTAACGCACTACATAAAATAACAGACAAACAACACTTACGAGGCATGACGGTGACGTTAGCGAAAGCTTCTCCGTAAACTCCAGGACCCGATACAGCCACCTTGAACTCGTAAACTCCTTCGCTTAGGTTACTTAGCTTCAGTGTTTCCCCGTTCTTATCTGAAAACATTTACATTTGACAACATTAAATCAAAATCCTGATTAACAGAGTTATGTGAAAAAGTTTGACTGAGTTGAATCCAAACTTCCTTTACTATAACTTTGTGAATAATCCTTTGATTGTATTTTTCACCAATCAAAGGCGTACAAGATTAAGACTAATTATTTTACTGTTGTCATGTAATTAGTTTTGTTGCTAAAGCAGTTTAAAAAAGTAAATATAAATAAGTAAATACTTAAAAGTAAATATAAGTTCACAATTTAGACCACACACTGTGATGAACATTCTGACATGACCAATGACTTTGTAATCTAATATATAAAATTCTCGTGTCACAGTGTTTGTCTGCAAACTCCTCCGGAACGACTTCACCGATCGTTATGAAATTTGGTGTGTAAATTCTGTAGGTATGCGAATCGGACGTAAACTATTTCCCGTTTCGAAATTCTTAAAAGGGCTCCGCCCCAGTGGCTCTAGAGTTTCCCATGTTAACCTTATGAGAAATGGAATTAATGAATCTTAACAGCTGTTTCAATTAAACAAGTTGGTTCTGTTCTATGATGTTCAATAGCATTAAAGTTACAAGGATTACCAACAGGGTGCAGCACTATTATTTCTTTTACATTTATGACAACAGCTAATTTGCAACCAAAAGGTGAGTGAGCGTAGCGAACGAACTTCAACCTGGAGGCGAGTTAGCGTAGCGAACGAGCTAACCTGAAGGCAAGTGAGCGCAGCGAACGAGCTCCGACCTAAAGGTGAGTGAGCGTAGCGAACGAGCTCCAACCCAAAGGTGAGTGAGCGTAGCGAACGAACTTCAACCAGGACGTGATTGAGCGATGCGAACGAGATCATCTTGAAAATTAAACGTAACGGTACTTTCTTTCCATCGGTCTGTCTTAGGGGAAACCTATAACTTAGGCGATACGAAGTTCGCCGGGTCAGCTAGTAAAATTTATAAAAATATACAACTTTTTTTTATCATGTAAAAAGATTTTTTGTAAGTTATTGACTGACTGCAAGAAGGCGTTTTATTACCTGTCATCGTGCCCTTGCTACTTCCCTCTGGTTGGGAAATTAAGGTCCATTCGTAGTTGTACTTTCCTCCGTCTGGAAATTAAAACTTGGTGAATTTTGGTTAACTTGCAAATTGTGTTTTATAGGTCAGGGCCACAGAGATAGGAGTAGGAAACAGATAAGTAATTCCAGATAAGACATCTGAAAGCCTGCAGCATGGGAAACTGAATGAAACCCCCTGCAAAGTGGTTTAACAACTAAAATATGTATTTGAGGTGTAACAATATTCTAACATTTCTGACTGTAAATTGAAAATTGTATTGGTTTTGAGGTTAAAGATCAGTTGGCCTATATGAAGCAAGGTTTCCACAATAATTTATACAACTACATCAACAATACTAGTAAATAAATAAATTGAAAAAGTAAAAAAAATCCTGTTAATTTTAATTGTGTAGTTTGCACTAGCCTATATATAATTTTGTTCATGCACTTAACTTATTTCACTTAGCTGATTACGGTTCTATTTACTCTAACGGTATTCTGTAAAGTGTTTCAAGGAATAATCCAAACCAAGATTAAATAATTAATGTTGGTCTTTTTTCCTTGTTAGAAAGCATCTTGAATACTTAACCCAATTAACTGTTATTTTCAAAATTATATTATAAATATAGTTAGCAGTGGTAGACAAAAAGTAGGGAAATATGAGTGCCTTTTGTACTACTAGTTGCTCTACCCGTGCTTCGCTACGGGGTGAGAATACAGAAAAGAATAATTCGGTTTTACTTTGAAATACTATAATATACTATAAGAAACAGTTACAACACACTTACCAGGAAACATACAGGGTGAGTTTTAATTGTCCCGCCCCCAACTTTTTTCTACATTTTTTCAAATATCAATCCCAGACCACTTCCAAACATTGTTGGGTAGTAAGTACTTCATTTTGACAAGGTGGCCATTTCCAGCCGCCATCTTGGATCCGCCATATTGGATGCAAAATTTTTTTCCCAAATGTAAAGGTGGGGTTGTGACCCATTATTTCGAACTACATTTTTACCCTGATTACAATGCCGCAAACCGTTTAAAAAAATCTTGATTCATTCTAAAGTTATGAGGGCTTTTTAAAACTTTATTTTTAGCCCATTTTAACATTGTGCATTTACAAACTAAGACCATAATCTCGAAATAGTGCTAGATAAAGATAAGTATACACTACCAGTAATTGTCAACCTATTTTCACTTGGTTATGACTGATGTATTTTTTTCGGCCGCCATCTTGGATCCGCCATTTTGAAATGTGATAAATTATTTTAAATATGAAGGGGGTGTTGTGACCCATCATTTCGAACAACTTTTTTAAGCTGAAGACAATGCCGCAATCCATTTTTTGTTATCAAGTTTTATTTATGAAATATTGAAATTTTTTTGTTAAAAATGTCAATATTTCAAAATCAAAAAATGAAAATGAAAAACGGATCATGGAATTAAGTTCAGCTTAAAAAAGTAGTTCGAAATGATGGGTCACAACACCCCCTTCATATTTAAAATAATTTATCACATTTCAAAATGGCGGATCCAAGATGGCGACCGAAAAAAATACATCAGTCATAACCAAGTGAAAATAGGTCGACAATTACTGGTAGTGTATACTTATCTTTATCTAGCACTATTTTGAGATTATGGTCTTAGTTTGTAAATGCACAATGTTAAAATGGGCTAAAAATAAAGTTTTAAAAAGCCCTCATAACTTTAGAATGAATCAAGATTTTTTTAAACGGTTTGCGGCATTGTAATCAGGGTAAAAATGTAGTTCGAAATAATGGGTCACAACCCCACCTTTACATTTGAAAAAAAAATTTTGCATCCAATATGGCGGATCCAAGATGGCGGCCGGAAATGGCCACCTTGTCAAAATGAAGTACTTACTACCCAACAATGTTTGGAAGTGGTCTGGGATTGATATTTGAAAAAATGTAGAAAAAAGTTGGGGGGGGGGCAATTAAAACTCACCCTGTATAGGCAAAGGCTCAATCGTGCTTATTGATTATTCAAATGAAGATCTCTCAATGTATTACAATACCATAATTTTATATAGTGTATAGCATTTAAAATATATATGCTAAAGTATAATTCATTAACCACATGGGACCAAGAAACAATTCTCCTTGTAAACAAAATTAAATTAAATAACAGAACAGCATTTTGACAACAGCTGGAGTTTCATAACAATGTTTGTTTCCCAAGTTAATCTTATGGAGAAATATGAAACTTTAAAGGGCCCCAGGGCCTCATTCTTTAATTATTTAGCTAAAAAGAAAGTTTCCTGCACAACTTCACGTTACACTCTTTCCAATGACACCAAAATCATGTCAAGAATCAAGAATCAAGAAGTTTATTCACCATTAAGTAATACATGATTACAATAGGCTTCATCAGTTATTCATTTAAAGGCCGTCAAGATAATAATAATAACAATAAAATCAAATCAATATAGATTAAAAATAGTAACAACAAAATAAATAAACAAGACAATAAAACGTTTACAACAACAACAACAACAAGACATTCGAATACTCATAGTAAATAAAGGACCCAACACTTAGTTTACACTGTACTTATATCACATTCTAAAAATTCCTTTATAGAAAAAAATTCGTGACTAATAAGCCAATCATGAATCTTATTTTTAAATGATTTTAAATCTAACAACTTAAATGATTCTGGAATTTTGTTAAAAAATTTTATTTGTTGATAATCGGTTTAATGTCAATCGGTTCAGTAGTTTCGGAGGAGTAATTGTCACAAAAAACTTGATTGCGTATTAAATAAGTATAGATGTTAAGAAAACCAAACACCCTTAGAACTTATTAACAATCTAGGTTAGACCTGCTAAGTTTAGTGGTTTGCGTGGGCCTTTTGTCATAAAGTCCTTAGGTTCAAACCAAACCAATCCCCTATAGCTCTTGGTTATGCAAAAATGCCACCTTATATCAAACAGCAAGTTTGAAGGTCCCTTCAACCGCAGGTCCACAAGAAAACAAAACATAAAACTGTATTTGGTAATAATAAAGGACTTTTTCATAGAGAGCATTGACATTTTATATTTGAGTCTCTGAAGAAGTCCTACATTAGGACAAAATATCAGCTTTAGTTTTGTGTTCTTTTATCATAAATGTATTAGCCTCTGGTCTGAAATTTTCGCAGGTAAGATAGATGAACTAAAAATTGTTAATCATTCAAATGACTTTTTTTATTTTAAATATCTATCCAATTTAGAATAAATTTCTCTTAAGTAAGGAGGATATCCATATTAAGAAATCCTTTTTCTCATATCCCTCTATAAACTCCTATTTACTACCGCTGAACATCAACACAAGAACACACAATTTCAACGTCCCAATCCACAAAACAAAACACCAACCAGATAACTGTGCTGGGATGGTGTATGCAGACAACGCTGCTCCGTTTTCAGGCAACCGAACAACTTTGGACAACACCGAAACATGGAGCGTTTGGACAGGAACTTTGGAACTGGAATCAATTCCATCGGACACCTGGAGACACAACAAAACACAGACAGCTGTAAGCAACATCACAACCTGTTATCAGCTGACACTTAATACAGATAACAACACTTTGGTGATTACTCAGAGGAGCTTTTAAAACTGACTAAACGATTGTGTGAGTGTGATTGTGAAACGGTGAGTGTGGTTTAAATTGTTAAATGGATAACATTGATTCTTTTACAAGGTTTGAGTAGTAGTAGCAAATATTTGTCAACACAGTACAGTTATTGATAGATTTTTACATAGCATTTAGTAAAATAATGTGAAGTGTGTAGGTCACTAAATATAATGTAGACCTCAGTTATTCAACTATTTAGCACTTGACTAAGTTTGGGTAAATAATTTTCACAGTTAAATTTTTAATGTAGAGACAGAATCAAGGAAAGGTAAGAAACATGTTGAGTATGATTTTGGACAGTGAAAGAAATATTTGTTACATAAAGTAGAACGCTTTTTATAACATTATTGCAATACAAAGTGATGACAAAAACCAAGGAAATTTTACTTAATTTATACTTTGGTACTTAATAACCCTTAAAACTATTTATACCCTTCTTTCAGCATACCTTAGAAGAGGAAGGAGATTCCGTAGATTCCCTTGAAGGTGATAACAGCAAGGCAGATACAGCTGTCATGTTTCCTAAAAAAAATTTAAATTAGACCTAAGGTGTATTAATAAAATTAACAGACAACTTATACTTGAAATAAGTATATTTTTATTTTAAAAATCTATGCTTTAAAGTTACGTAGGTACTGTAAGACAACCAGTAGGAGGCTACCTGTTATGCATACTCAAGCCTAAATTTTATAGTTGCATAAAAATTTGTTTGCAAACTTATAGCCCTCCGAGTGTTAAGCGTCACGTAATCGACGCACAACACACCCGCCATCGCTTTTGCGACACACAAACATCGTTTCCGGCGAAGGCTCTGGGACTGACTGAATCAGATTGAACTGGATCGAGGTTGGTATCATTGTTTTCAGCAGATTCTAAACTTTCTCCTGATGTCTGTTTCTAGAGGCTTTTCATTTTAGTTCCGAAAATATTGTAGCAGACAGATGACGTGCGTATTTGTAAACAACTTGGTTAACCTCGCACCGATGACTGATGTGTTTTATTACGTTTATCATTGTTTTTAGTGTTAAAAATAAAAAGTAGTGATATACGTGGTGCATTATAAGAAGATTTAAGTGATTTTGAAGGGCTGGTTGATGATCCTGAAGAAGTAGGTAGTGATATTGATGTATATTATCCGCCAGATTCCTAGCTATGGTTAGGCTATGCATTCTTAGCTAACGCTAAATGTACAAAATCTGTTTTTCACCCATAACTTATTTATTTGCAAACCTACTTCCTTACCATTAACTATGTCAGCAACAAAAAAATAAGGTAGTCCAATAGTCAATGCTATAACCAATCAGCTACCTATAAAAATTGTTTTAGCAAGGATGAACCAATTTTACATTAGCAGACTCTAGTAGGCTACATAAAACTGACCAGCAGATATACAGTCGCCCTGTCTGTTGCGCAGGTATCCCACGTCACAAACACACTCGGTTGTCGCCACACTGCAGTGCTCGTGTTCCGGACAATCCATCACACACACTTTGTCTGCGTTGACGTTGCTCTCGGCCATATCTAAGTCTTGTAGATTGGTGCCGAACCACAACTTGTCTCTACAAAAACCACATATTAAAAGTAATACATGTATTGAGTATTGTTAGACAAAAGGTGTTTGTGAAAAAGTATATTCACTTCTGTAGGAATTTAAAGTCTCCATTCCCTCTCAAAAATCTCACAGAAAAATTAAATGTGGGAAAAAACGCTAAATTTTAAAATCATTAAAAAAATATTATAGTTACCTACAGAGTAACTTGTTTAACCAATTCTAAGGTTATCGTAAATATTTACACATACGAGGTGAGTAGTATTGTGTATTGTACATCGGGTTGATCGGACAACCCCACAACAAACACGCAGCAGAGTCCCCATATAAATATTTTTGTCCATATAGACTATGGTGTTAGTGACAAGAAGATAAACGAAGAAAACCCCTGAATATACCACAAAAGCTGGCAATTAAATGTATCTAGGGTGACACACACATATTACCTACTCAACAACACAGGCAACAAAAACAAAGGTAGGCCTAATCTATATATATAAAATCCAATGTATGTTTGTTTGTTTGTCCTTTATGGACTTCGAAACCGCTCGACAGATTGTAATGAAACTTCGAGGCATTATTTAGCATTATTCAAGGATGGTTTGTGTGAAGTTTGGTGCAGATCCGTCAAAAGGGCTCCGCCCTAGTGGCTCAGGAGTTTCCCATGTTAACCTTATGAGTTAACTCATATTTAAATGGAATTAAAGAATCTTAACAGCTGGTTCAACTAAGCAATTTTATTCTGTGATGTTCAATAGCATTAAAAAGTTAATAAGTTTACCAACAGGGTGCAGCACGATTATTTTTTTTTAACTTATGACAACAGCTAATTTGCAACCAAAAGGTGAGTGAGCGTAGCGAACGAACTTCAACCTGGAGGCGAATTAGCGTAGCGAACGAGCTAACCTGAAGGCAAGTGAGCGCAGCGAACGAGCTCCAACCTAAAGGTGAGTGAGCGTAGCGAACGAACTTCAACCAGGATCTTGAAAATGTACAAGCATTTGACATAAAACCACATTAGGACAGGACGACGTCTGTCGGGCCAGCTAGTCTATATATATAAAATCCAATGTATGTTTGTTTGTTTGTCCTTTATGGACTCCGAAACCGCTGGACAGATTGTAATGAAACTTCGAGGCATTATTTAGCATTATTCAAGGATGGTTTGTGTGAAGTTTGGTGCAGATCCATCAAAAGGGCTCCGCCCCAGTGGCTCTGGAGTTTCCCATGTTAACATTATGAGTACCGGTACTCATATTTAAATGGAATTAAAGAATCTTAACAGCTGGTTCAACTAAACAAGTTGATTCTGTGATGTTCAAGAGCATTAAAAAGTTAATAGGTTTACCAACAGTGTGACACATAGCGGCACGCTATATTTCTTATAGTGTCAGCGCTTCGTGTGGCAGGGCTGCATGGCGAACTCGTCAGCCCACCGCGAGCAAGCGAACGGCTTCCCCCACCGACCTTTCCCAACCTTCTTCCCACTTCACCGCCAACGACTATCAAGAATTCCCACAGAAGAGCTGCTCGCCCTGAAAAATCTATTAAATGGCTAAGTTACTAGAATAATTATTAATTATATACTAGGTTAATATGTCAGGCTAGTTAGCAACAAGGGGGGAGACCTACAAGGGTCGTCCGACATTAGAAATGTAGGAATTAGGAAATTTACTGGTCGAGCCCTTCAGGCTCGGACCATTTTCAACATGATTAGGACAACACGTTTTCCCCAGAAGTTTCCATAGTTCTTTTCAATAATTGTTAGGCATTTCCTATTTAAGTAGTTCAATCACCAGTCTATCATTTCATTATCAGTCATTTCCTAGGTCACAAGTTTTGGAAGGATAGTTTTTAATAAATTAGTTGTATTAGCATAAATCAAAGCTGGCTATGCAAGCTTCCGGTCTGGGTAAAAGATCTCCGTCCTCTGGTCCTTAACACGTCTTTCATTAATTAATTTGGTAGCAGAATCAGCACGCTTAATTTAGTTTTACACCTCCAATCAATCACTATTAATCAGTTACCCCCCAACGGCTACAACAGGACGCAGCACTATTATTATTTTTTTAATTTATGACAACAGCTTATTTGCAACCAAAAGGTGAGTGAGCGTAGCGAACAAACTTCAACCTGCAGGCGAGTTAACGTAGCCAAAGAGCTAACCTGAAGGCAAGTGAGCGCAGCGAACAAGCTCCAACCTTGGTGAGTGAGCGTAGTGAACAACCAGGACGTGATTGAGCCATGCGAACGAGCTCATCTTGAAAATGAACGAGCATTTGACATAAAACCACATTAGGACAGGACGACGTCTGTCGGGCCAGCTAGTCCTATATATTAGGCAAGTATGTTTCATAAAAAAGTTTGTTTCAGCTCAAGTCCATTGCAGGGAAAATCTACACATAGCCTACTTTTAGAAAGATATTTTCCTGTAGATGTGCAGAATCCCTTTATAAATTCAAATAGCGCTAGGCTAAAAAATAAACATAAAACATGAATAAAAAATTTATAAAAAATTAACATGGGCCTCATGGGTTGCCCATGCTGGTGACAAAATAACAACGAAATATGAACGGAAAATAAAAACAATAAAAATATTAGATACGTCATTATAAAAGTGTTTAATCATAGCCAACTTAAAGATACTAAAAACACTCGTTTAAAAGGATTAAAATTAAATAAAATGAAAAGAAAAATGCCTTTATTAAAGACGCGAAGTTAGGACTTGTAAGTCCTCTCTACCACTTAACCTCTGAAACATAAATAAATAAATAAAACTTATTCACTTATATAAGTAAATTTAAATAATCTAAAGTAATACATTAAATGAGTAAACATGAAGAAATTAAGCTTAGTAATCCTAAAACAATCCCATTCACACAAGCCGCCAACAACCCCTCACACCAGCGCCAGAGACTCACTCACACCTGCTGCTCAATATAATAGATTTAATCTCTGCCCCAAACCTCGCACGGTTTCCTATGGATTTGATATGGTCAGGAAGAGCCACATTCGAATTGCAGATACCAAGAAGGATTTGTTAAAAACTTTTGACCGGTGAATTGGTGTAGACAAAAGGTGAGAGCCTCTACGAGTGGCACGGGTGCTGATGTCAGAAATAAAATGGAAGTTGTCTGATAAATAATTGTGAATTTTACTAGGCCTATTGATAATGGAGTGTAGAAGACGGAGGGTGTGAAATTCCAGAAGTTCATTTAACTTCATCAATGAAAGCAGGTTGAAATAGGGAGTTACATGGTCATATCGCCTAAGGCCAAACATGAATCTGATAGAGGAATTCTGCGCTCGCTGAAGTCTACTAGAAACTTCATTAGTCATGTCATTGATCACCACATCACAGTAGTTGAAATGAGTCAAGATGAGAGTTTTTACTAACATGATTTTCAAGTTCAGTGGAACTGCAAAACGTTTGATGGTGTGAATAGCTCCAAAGACCCTGTTACAAGTGGAGTTAAGATAACTATGTAGCTACCGGTATTCTTTCTGTTTGCTTTTGTTTTTCTATTCTTTCTTAGGTTTCGCTTCATCCAAAAATTGTACAATTCACCATAGTTTCTTATCACCCAAATGAAATCAGTACTCAGTATGTAACATAGCGCGCAGCGACAGCAGACAGAGATGTGTAAAACGGAGCAGACAAATGTTAGCGCAAGCGATGACATCACCTTTCCATTTCATTTGATGAAGGAACAGATTTTTCAAAAACAATAATGGGTGGGGGGGGGGGGGTTGTTATATCGAGGTAAAGACGATGACAATTTGTTAAGTAGAGTTTAAATTCGATATGTAGAGGTTCTGACAATGATAAATTCGTTATATTGAGGTGTCTTATTTTAGCCGGAATCACAAAAATGTCGTTAAATCAAGGTTGTTGTTATGGTTTATACGTTATATAGAGGTAAAATATACATGGTGTCTTGTGGAGAGTTCAAGGGGATTAAAAAAAATTTGTTATATCAAGGAATTCGTTATATCGAGGTTCGTTATATCAAGTTTAAACTGTACATGTATATGAATTTGAACGGATGGCGATTTTGGCCTCTGGGGACCTCAAAACAAAAAAGTAGGCCTAAATCGGTCCTGGGTCCAGGTCTTACCATGAAACCTACAGTAACTTAATAGCTTATTCCCTATATGGGAAATTTGCTAAAAACACCCTATTATTGATCATCTTCTAAAATCAGCTGTCATTGCAAAATTTATGGAAATATGGCTAATTTTAGAGTGTCAAAGGGAAACTGTTAGCCGGGGCTACAATTCAACATTTTATATGCTTTCTTTTTTTGCCAATTTCTGCCAACTCTGATGAACGTGGTATGACTTGAAACAGCATTTTAAAAAAAGACCATTAGCCTCTTAGACCAATTTTGGATTATTGAAAGTGCTGGACCATCGGAGGTCAAATTAATACGCTTTTATTCACACTGTTAATATATTACTCACCTGTTATAATCAACAGGAGCCATAACATCGGTGATGTCCCCCCAACTTCCACCTATGACAGGACGGACTAAGACCATCCGGACGTTGTTGCCAAACTGGGAACCTTCTCTATACACTGGCTCACATAGAGAGTCGCTCTCACACTCAATCTGGCAAAACAACGATACAATTTAATGAGAGAACCGGGGTATCATTAAAATTCCATTATATATAGGCTGGGGAGCGAGCTGGTCTAGTGGTTAGAGCGCGGGACTCCGGTTCCAGGGGTCCCGGGTTCAAATCCTGCCAAATCACCAATGGATTTTATCTAAGTGATAATACCGCAACCCCTTCTAGGTCTAGCCTGAAGTAACTTAATGTGAAAAACAATTCCGGGCTCGTGCCTAGCGTCCTAGGACAAAAAAAACTATATGTAGGCTACATAGGCCTAGAGGTTTTTATAAAGTTAAGCAAGGTAACAAGACTATTTGTCCAAGAAGGCTCAGAGAAATTTCCTTAGTGTGGTGTCATTTGATGTTTAACCATATGTTTCATGTTTAAAAGATCAGATGAACTGATTATTTATTATTATTACATTTTGTTTCTAGATGAGTTGTTGAAATGATTAGATAAAATACTGTTCCTAATTTGTTCAATGATTTCAATTTCCACTACAGGACACTCTTTGCCATATTTCATAACTAGAATTTCACCTAGAAAAAAATTTGAAGTTTCATTTTCCTTGTCCTTAACTTCCCGTATTGTTTTCTGTCCTTGTTTTGTACAACACCTAACAAAATGTCCCTTGACACCACAACTAAGACTCTAAACTTCATACACCGGGCACTCCCTATACTTATGAAATAGGCAACATTTATTACAACTTGTTTCTGAAAGAGTCTACTTTATTGCTAACGGCTCCTACTTCCTCTTGGCTAATTGCAATTGATATGTCGCTACCGGAGCTCTATCTCTTACTACATTTTCCAGAAGTTTGAATGATGTTGAAACTTGCTATGCACAAATAGAAAAGGAAGCATTTTTGTGACTTGGGCATGTGACGAGTTTTCAATGTATGTGTTGGGAAATCAATTCCAAGAGCACATAGACCACAAACCATTAGTAGAAATTCTAGGGTCAAAGCCTATTTCAGAGCTTTTGTCTAGACTTCAAAGATTTAGAATGAGACTTTTAGTGTTCGATTATAAGGCAACTTATCTAACTGGGAAAGAAAACTTCACGGCAGATTGTTTGTCTCGAAGCCCTTGAAACCTCAAAGAAGACTTTTTCAAAGACAAAATCTATGAACTGACAGTAGACGATACGCTATTCATCAGGAGCATTGTAGAAACTTTCCCGTGTTCAGATAAACGTCTAGAAGAAATTAAACAAGCTCAAGGTATGATCCCGAGAGCCGTGAAATCTTATCGTCGATTTTGGAGAATAAATGGTGTAAGAACTCAATATTTTGGAAATATAAAGATGAACTTGTTTTGGAAGATGGCTTGATAGTAAAAGGAACACAAATTTTCATACCTAGAAGTTTACGGAAAGAAATTTTTTTTTATTCACAAAGGACATTTAAGTATAGTGAAATGTCGTTCAAGAGCAAAAGAATCAGTCTGGTGGCCAGGTTGTTCGAGAGATGTGAAGTCTGAAGTAGAAAACTGTGTATTGAACAAAGTCAAGTGAACAAAGAGCCTTTGATGCCCACAGAACTTCTAAAAGGTCCTTGGATTTATCTTTCCGCAGATCTATTGTGTACCGTAATAGAAAGTGGTAGGCCTACTTGGTAGTTCAAACCTATTTTCAAGATTTCACATCACAAGAGTTCAAGGATTTTGCAAAAGAGTATGTGTTTGAAGCAAAGACCACTAGTCCGTACTTTCCTCAGGCAAACGGAGGTGCTGAGGTTGCAGTGTCAATAGCCAAAAGAATATTGTTGAAAAATAAAGATCCAAATATAGGGTTAGCCTATTAGTTTTTACCTGAAAACAAAGCTAGAATCGGGACTGTCTCCAGCAGAGTTGCTTTCTGGGAGAAAATTGAGTTCAAATCATCCATCATTGAAAGATTTTGAAAAATTCAACAGGCCCCTAACTAATGATTTGGTTGGGTTTTGACAAAACAACAACACATAAAAGAGAGAATGAAGAGGAATTTTGACAGCAGGAGATGTGGAGATGGCAAGTGAACTAAAACCTCTGGAAAAAGAAGATAAGGTCTGGATTAGAGACCTGAAAAATAAAGAAAACTGAACAACAGATTTCATATTTCCTTTTTTTAACGGTGAAATCTCATCAAAATTATACATTTATCCCCATAGGATCATATTGGGTACGGTAACACTAAATAATGGGAGATGGCTTAGAAGAAATTGATGGCATCTAACACTATTGCCATTAGAAGAAAGTGTATATACCGAACAGCCTAACAATCCCTCCTCTACCTGATCAACTAAACCACGACACTTCTCAAAGAAGTCAGAGACTCCTAAGAAGACCAAAACAAAGCGATTAAAAGAATATGCATGTACAAAGAGAGATGTGGTGATATTAACTAACCATATGTTTAATGTTTAAAAGATCAGATGAATTGAATATTTTTTATTATTATTACCTACATTTTGTTTTTAGATGAGTTGTTGAAATTATTAGATAAAATACTGTTCCTAATTTGTTCATTTTGGTTAGGCTACCTAAATAAAATATCTAGGCTAGTTTCTTCACACTAAGCATAAATATTTTCTGCCAATAAATAACAAATGTAGTTAGCTAGGGTAGTTAGCTACACAGATCCACAAATCTCATAAACCATAATTTACGATAAGCCTATCTCAAAGTCTTAAACTGCTATTAAAAAATAACACTTAGATTTGAAACAGTCTGTGGCTGTAGTAAAAGCATGTGACGTCTGACCTGATGATGCGGGTTTAAAATCGAAAAATCATCAGTGGCAGGATGCTATGTAATAATGCTATGACCCGAGGAGCAGAACTTTCTATGCTGTGTGTATGCATAAAAAAACCAATATAGACCTAGGTCTTTGGGACCATCTGAACTGAATCTCTTTGTCAACTAAAATAATACAGGTAGCCTATTACATTTGTGATAAAAATTTGATTGATTAAGTTTAAACAATCATCTTACTTGGAAACAAGTTTGCTTGAACATAAAGACAATGTTGCAGGATGGCTGTTCACAACACAGGGCCACACAACTTGATATAGTCACTGCCTCAGGACTCTTCTTGTAGACGCCAGCTGACTCGTTGCCACGCGGCGCGTAGCCTACGAGGACCTTGGGCAGCATCTGAGGACATTCTCGCCACTGTGGTGAGTCTAGGTCGAGCTGGGAGACGACAGAGAATAGTAAGTTCCACCCCAGCAACCACTGAAGCTGCTCACTACCTCTCATCTTCTGGAACAGTAATTATCGTAAACTTAGGGAGGCTGAGATTAGCTGGTGTTGAATATATTTTGTAGGTTAACTAGGCCTATCTGTTTGTTTCCTTACTTTTCCTTCAGAGCCAAAGGTAGGCCTAAGTTACATGGCCATCTGCCTACAAATGTAAAAATCTATGTATTTAGGCCTTACTTAAAAGCCTTTATGGCCATGCAGTTATTAAGTAAGGAATGCTCAATGAGTTAGGCTAATGCTAACTATAGCCAGGTAAGTTAGATACTCCATAGGGTATCCCATGCATAAAAGCATTGACTATGACAACACTAGTCGACTATACACACTAGTGTTGTATAGTCAATGATACAAGCCCTCTAAACTAAAATACAAAGCTTAATCACTATAGAGAAGACTGGATATATGTATATATTTTAACTTAATTTTATCAGAGTGGTTACTCAGTAGGCCTACTCATAAAGCTATAACATATAAACATGTTAGAAAGCCATCTACAGTAGTCTAGACATCATACTAAATTTCAAGAAGTCCTCTTGAGGAATAATAATAGAGGAATCTGAAGAATTACAGGTTGCCTTATTTAACTTTAGATAAAGTTCTAATAAAATACAAAGGCAGTGTTTCCATCAGCAAGAAAAAAATATCCCTGGGCCAACGTCAAAAAATCCCTAGTTATCCCTAGTCCGTGTTATAATAATCCCTCCAATTATCCCTCTTCATCAAATCTAGATAACAACTTATTATTTTTGCAGCAATACCAATGGATATCATGTATAGCCACCTAAAATATGGTAACTGGTGGTATTTTTCTTCAATATCCCATATTATTTATAAAGTAATACTATATAAATAGTTATTTGTGTAACTAGTGGTGAAAGTGGCACTTTGCTGCACACGAGAGCAATGTTTACGCATGAGCCGTAGGCGAGTGCGGAATGATCTCGAGTGCAGCAAAGGCCTTTTTCACTCGTGTTACACATTATATTTTTCCTACAGTCACTATAAAACATAAATAATTAGTCTTTCAAACACTATACAACACGTTTTTAGGTTCAGCTAGCAACACAATTACACAAATGGTGCCCTGGAGAAAGTAGTACCCGTGGTCCGTATCACTCCGCTATTTTTCCTCGGCAAGAAATGTGCTCCGTCTTTTGAGAATATAGTTCCGTATGTTTTTGTAATTTGAAGTGGTTTCCGCGCCTAAAAAAAATGCTTTAAAGGTATTTTCTTGTTTATTAAGACCGTAGGAATGTTTTAAAAACGTTTAAAAGAAAAGTCCAGAAAGTTCAGAAATACCAAAACTATAAACACGAAATGACAGGTTAAATCGTAGTTATAATAGTCAATCAGCTGTTCATAGTATTATTATCTTTAAGTGTTGCCAACCTATTTCCAAGCGTACACGGATTACGTGCATAATAAAACCACGCTGTTTTGTGTTGTTTGGTTGGAATCCTGATGTGCGGCAAAGTATAAACCGTGCGGCAAAGTATAAACCGTACGGCAAAGTATAAATATGCAGCAATTAGCAGCTTTCTGTACTATAAACAGTACAGGGAAGCCAACTTTGTCGGGTGACTGTAGGAAAAAACATTTTTGCACCATTAAAACCACGGCCATCTTTAACTCCAGGCAGGCCGCGGCCTGGTATAGTTGGCAACGTTGCAAGTACCGTAGTATTGTTTAGCGCCAGACGCCCTATAAGTTAACATGGAAATAAAACATAATGTAAGTTACAATCGAAAACCAAAATAATAAATTGAAAATCTATTTCCATACATTCAATGTGGAGTCAATATTGTCATAGCCCAGTAACCAAGCTTTCGTATTTATTATAAAAAAAAAATGCATAAATATCATTAGCTTAGCGTTCTCCAAACAAACACCTTTCACAACACTATAGGCCTACTTGCAACGTTGCCACTTCGAAGGCCGCGGCCTCCGGTCTGGAATTACAGGTAGCCGTGATTAAAAACTGCATATGTGGTACAAAACAAGATAAATTAACTAAAAAAATTAAACAAATAGTTATTTTTAAAATTTTATAAACTAATAATTTTCATTTACAAGTAATTACAATTGTTTCAAAAATGTTACTCAAGTGTCCAAATTTCAAAAATATAGTCTTTTTCAAACATGGCCACCATGCCTTGGGGAAAAGGTTACACCAAGTTACTTTAACCAAAAAACATCATATAGAAATCACCGGCAAACAAAATCAAAACGAAAACAAACATTCGACATTTTTGACACAGGGCACAGGGCTACTAAGAAACAAATACAGTAATCTAGATCCGCCATTACATTCCACCGACCGACTTGTCCTTCGCTTGTTTCGTGCAGTGTTGGCTGTTACTCTTCCCCTTGTCTGTTCCGACTTTGAAACACTACGTCACTACCACTACTTACAACCATGATAAAACATTACTCCTTGAGGAGTATCTTCTAAACTTACAATCGATTTGTTACCAAAATCTGGAGAAAAAGTAGTATAATCAACGCGTTACGGTGTCAAAACCTTGCAAAATTAGCCAAAATAGGTCCTTGACGTTGTTGAAATACAGCCAAAATGTATTATTTTATCAATATTTCAATTTATAAAGTCAAAGGCCTGAAATCCCTAGAAAATCTAAAAAATCCTTCAATTTCGCTGATTATCCCTAGTTATCCCTCAATCCCTTTTCAATCCCTCGAAGGCCCTAAATATCCCTAGAAAGGGATTTTTATCCCTCAAATGGAAACACTGTACAAAGGGTTCGTTTAGTAACAACTGCAAGTAATCTAGGCTACCTGCTTACACAGCAAAAAGTGGAATTTGGTAACATGGGCACAATTTAATATGCTAAACCGATTATAAATGCGATCTTCAATAAAACGTTACGATGCTCATATAATTATATTACATTTCGGGTCAGAAAACAAAATCTAAAATGTTATATTTTGGATAAATTGTGAAACACTTACAATATTGACATCAACCCATCTGTCAAATCTCAAATGCCAAACGCCAACCAAACCACACAAACACGGGCTCAAAACAAAATTCAAGCAAGGCAGAGGATACGCGTCCGGTAACCGGACGTGGATTAGACGTCCGGCAATTACTGTCATAACCTAACCTAACCAACCAAACTTGCTGATAGTGAAAAAATCGAATTAAGGTGAAATTCTTTCTCTATAAAAAAAATTATAAATGCCAAAAATTCTAATAAAAGATGTACAGTTAAGAATAAATGGTATTCAATGCAAACTCTTCGACAAAAAGTTAAAGTCATAATGGGATTCGAACCCTGGACCTCTTGCGTATCAGCCGAGCACCTTATCCACTACACCACGACCACCGATGGCTGAGCATTGTATTGTTGTGGTAAAGGCGTTCCAGGCTCCCGCAACCCCATGACGTCATTGCCGTACGCCTTATCCACGTCCGGTTACCGGACGCGTATCCTCTATGTTCAAGGCAAATCCTTGCGAATGCGAAATAGCAGCCGACAAGAAAGAGCCTAGAAACATTTTTTTTTATTTGAAAGGAGGACAATAAGGGATTTTTAGTTTCCAACTAATTGTTATACCAAAGGTTATTGTAGTTTCCAACTAATTGTTATACTATTGAATTACTTCATGCAAATTCTTAACTAAGTTACATAATTATTTCCTTTTCATCACCTAACTTGTATGGCACACGAAACATGAAATCTTTGTCATTAATTAAGGATACTTTCAACTAGATAGGCTGATAGGCAGTTGGCACTCATGGTGAGATCTAAGCTTGGGACCGATTTACTTTTTCGTTTGATGTTTCCACCGTCCGTTCAAAATCACTTATATAATGACGTGTGTGTGTCTTTGATCACTTTGATTTTTAATGAAATTGGTACAATATCGTGAAAGCCTATTTCGAACCAGCATGATCGGACAATGGGAACGGGGGTTTTATGGGGTAAAAATTATGGTTTTCTCATTTTTAACCTTTGAAACATATTAATTTGCAATTTATTCCCAAACCATTTTGTACAGCTTAATAAACGAAATTTAGTTAGTACACTAAAGCGTTGTCTACCCCTAACAATACGGGGAAAGTTAAAGGGTAAGGTGTGTGTGAGTGTGTGTCTGGATTTGTACAGAGCTAGGGACTACACCTGTTGTCCGATTTCGATGAAATTTGGTATGTAGGTTCTAATCCATGGTCACCAGGCGCCAGGCGTTTTTTTCATTTTTTTGAAATTTAGATTTTTAATGGGGATTTTCCCATAAAAACCAATAAAAAACCTGAAAAATCTAATTTTCTCAAAAATGGCCCGAACGAATGTTATAAAAATTTAGTATGTTGTAGCCCTTTAAATTCCGAAAAAAATGGTACAACTCCCATTTCTGTAAAAATTACGGTTCAAAAGTTATTGTAAATTATGTTATTTTCCCATAAAAAAACCCATAAAAGACGAAAAATAGTATTTTAGAACAAAAACTGGCTTTGGTTTTAACTTAGTATGTTATGTCCTTAAAACATGAATGATTTTTTTAATTTTGTTGAAATTTGGATTTTAATGGGAATTTTCCCATAAAACACCATAAAATAACGGAAAAATCAGATTTTTTTTAAATGGCCCGAACGATTTTGATAAAAGTCTAGTATGTTATAGCCCTTTACATTCTGAACATAATGGTACAACTCCCATGTCTGTAAATATTACGGTTCAAAAAAGTTATTGTAAATTATGTTATTTTCCCATAAAAACCCCATAAAATGACCGAAAAAAATTGGATTTTTGGAGAAAAGCTGATCAAAATTAATATGTTATGGTCCTTATAATTCTAAAAATAGTAGAACACTCCATTGCTGTAACAATTGCGGTGTTCAAAAGTTATTGCAACTTATGTAGTTTTTAACTATAAAACAACATATTTTTTACTCTCGCCGCTTATACCTATGATAAAGATTGTTGACGAGCTTATGGAAGAAAGTATGTGTCAGATTGCTGACACCGTTTATTTTAAGTATATGAAAGCTGTGTTGCTGGGTTATGAAAATATTGACTCCACTTTAAAAGTACAAACATTGATTTTCAATTTAAATATTGTTTTGGTTTTCTATTCTATATATTTTATTTCAATCTTTCAATAAATTTATGTTTATTAATTTTAATGAATAATACACGAAATATTGAGCTGGTGTCACCTATCTGCCAATCTTATGGGACGTCTCTCGCGCTACACAACACCACTTGCGACGTTGCCAATTCTACCAGGCCGCGGCCTGTAAAGGTGGCCGTGGTCCAAGTAAATTTTTTGCGAAATAAAATATAACTAGTGTACATGTTGCTCGAATTCGAGCAATTGAAAGTATTACAGGTGCCATTTCAAAACGGATAACAGTCATATTTACAATGAGTTTAAAAGAGTCAACTCAAAGATTACCGGTGTGTAACTCAGACCATGTTTATCTTAGTTATTGATAAACCTAAAGCAATCTGGCCGGTTTTCTCCTTCTCAAAATGCCTCGCTGTACAGGCAACACAGGTTATTGATAGAGGGCCAATGGCCAATTGACAACGAAAAGTCGTTTTGGGGTAGTTTAGGGCGCATTTGTAACCTAATAGTTGAGATTGTCCAGCGTCAGGTGCTGACTGTGATGAGTTAAGCCTACGCGCCACTGTTCTGTAGCTGTGGTCGTTATCACCATTACGCCCCCTGTCTATGTTTCGTTTTCGTCACGTCGGAGGCATTTAAAAGAAATAAACAACAAATAAACAAATTATTGCTACACAAAACAACGATAAATGCACAAATTTAAGTTACCATCATGCTAACCCGATCCGTCATAGCAACACAAAACAACGATAAATACACAAATTTAAGATACTCCCAAGTAGCATGCAACTCCTTTTAAAATTATTTTATTTATATTAAAACATTTTAAAAATAAATTTTGTAAGGACAATTTGTGTAAAATATTTTAAAAATTGGGGTAAAATATTTTTAAAATAATTATCTTGTTTCAGGTTTAAAAGATTTTTAAAATAGGTCATGTTATTTTTAAAATATTTTTTAGTTCATATTTAAAATGGTTTAAAAAATATTTACCGGGGAACAAAAATATGTTAAAAATAGTTTTTAACATTTTTGATTTTTTTATCTAATATATAAAATTCTCGTGTCACAGTGTTTGTCTGCAAACTCCTCCGGAACGACTTCACCGATCGTTAAGAGATTTGGTGTGTAAATTCTGTAGGTATGCGAATCGGACGTAAACTATTTCCCGTTTCGAAATTCTTAAAAGGGCTCCGCCCCAGTGGCTCTGGAGTTTCCCATGTTAACCTTATGAGAAATAGAATTAATGAATCTTAACAGCTGTTTCAATTAAACAAGTTGGTTCTGTTCTATGATGTTCAATAGCATTAAAGTTACAAGGATTACCAACAGGGTGCAGCACTATTATTTCTTTTACATTTATGACAACAGCTAATTTGCAACCAAAAGGTGAGTGAGCGCAGCGAACGAACTTCAACCTGGAGGCGAGTTAGCGTAGCGAACGAGCTAACCTGAAGGCAAGTGAGCGCAGCGAACGAGCTCCAACCTAAAGGTGAGTGAGCGTAGCGAACGAGCTCCAACCCAAAGGTGAGTGAGCGTAGCGAACGAACTTCAACCAGGACGTGATTGAGCGATGCGAACGAGAGAGGCGAGTGAGCGTAGCGAACGAGCTAACCTGAAGGCAAGTGAGCGCAGCGAACGAGCTCCAACCTAAAGGTGAGTGAGCGTAGCGAACGAGCTCCAACCCAAAGGTGAGTGAGCGTAGCGAACGAACTGCAACCAGGACGTGATTGAGCGATGCGAACGAGATCATCTTGAAAATTAAACGTAACGGTACTTTCTTTCCATCGGTCTGTCTTAGGGGAAACATATAACTTAGGCGATACGAAGTTCGCCGGGTCAGCTAGTATTATATAAAATATTTTACCTTTTCTGTTAAAAACTTTTTAATAAAGTTTTTAGCACTAAATATTTTTATGTTTGAACATTTTTTTAAACAAGTTTTCATATGATTTTTCGTTTTATTAATTATTCCAATATTTTCAGAAATAATTTATACCATAAAGGCTAGTATACACAAAAAATGTTTTTATCCTCCATCAGCACATGAGGTATGATACATACTTTTGAAGTCAATAATGGTAAACGTAAAAAGTATATTTGGAAAAACTGTAATCGCAAATGTTGTTTTTTTAGGTCAACATAAAATACTGTCTTATTTTATAATACGTGATTGATTTAAACCTATTTTCGGGCCTATTTCTTGATAAATTTTAATGAATGCGTACACTGCATTCCACATACTTTTACCATACTAACACGATCCGTCTTGGGGGTTATGTTTACACAAACTCGAATACTAGATAAATGTACTTAATGCGTTTCATTGTTTCATTAAAATGAAAAATAAATAGCAATTAAATTGTACAGCTGATCAAAATTCAAACAATTATGTTCTTCATAAGGATAACATGGGAACTTTCAAAGCCACCGGGGCAGAGCCCAAGGGACTTTCAAAAAATGGAAGGCCAGTTTGCAAATCTACGCGACACGATCTTCCCAATGAGACGTCAATGGATAAAATCGGTTAAGAAATGGCGGAGGAGTTCAACCGACAAAGTTGTATGTAGCATATTAATTACATAGATTCCCTATGAATAATAAAAACATTGTTGTAGTGTCCTTGTTTGGAACAGATTTGTTTATTTTATACTAAGTAATCAACTTTTCTTTTATGAAAATGAAAACACACAGATTTTGACAATTTTAAGAAGATATTTTAGTGAAAATAATCAGGCAAATATATGGAAATTCGCTTAGTTTGCAGGTTTGCTGTGGCGGGTATTACTGGTCTTATGAACGCTCAACGTCTTCAATTGGGGTTTAAAAGGAATGTAGTAATAAGGAATTAAATAATTTTGCCTTAATAATTTGAACATCAGTTATCTACATCATTGTTGTGAATAAATTCCTTACAAAATGCTTTGTCTCAAACATCTGGCCTTATAGTCTCTGAATAGCTGTAATCAAGGGACAGCTGCTTAAACATAATAAGGAAACAAAGCACAATGTGTAGCAGCTCATATATAGATGAAGTAGAGCAATATCATTTTAATACTTTTTTGCTAAATGTGTGGAGACTTCAGACTTTAAAAAATCTTATTAATGTTAACATAAACTCTCTCCCTCTTCACAATTATTTTCTTATGGCATGGTCCAAGTGCCCAGAAGTGGGGCCAGGGCCAGAGATTGAACCCCCCCCCCCCAGTGTTTAAAAAATAAGAATTTTTAAATACATATGAATGAAATGTACTGAACTCATCCATATTTAAATCCTAAGTACCGTACTCATGAACTTTTGAGAAAACTACAAGTCACACCCAGATAAAAAACCATATACTTAAAATGTTCGTCATGACGAGAAACCTTGCTCAAAACTGGAAACTGTATACAATGTATTATGTCAATTAACTCCCCATCTGGCCTGAACTCCTCCAGTGTTTTGCATGATCTGTTATCTTTGGTACAGCAAACTAGAATGTTACATTTTTAATAGAGCAGCATTGTTATATTAAAATCCAACTAGAAATATCGTAGACATTATTAAATTACCACATTACAATGTTATATTATGATTCTCTTCTTTATACATACTCAGAACTTGATACATAATTTCAAAAATATTTTTTCATATGCTTTACCTATAGTATGTGGATCATACAACCTTCCTCTTTCTCATTTTGAATCTACATACCGGTACCTAAATAGTACGAAAGCTGCTGGAATTTAATTTACTAACAAAAGTGTTAACATTTGTATGTGTAAGCCTACTATATTTAACACATGAAAATATTACTATATTCCTCGTGATAATTACTGATTTAATCAGTAGTTAAATTGTTACTGGAACTAAATTGTTACTAAATTTTATTTCCATACCTTTAAAGAAAAGTTCTGATTTAAAAAAGGATACAGACTTACAGCAACAAAATAAACCCAATCTAATGGTTATCCAACCTATGATAATTACCTATCAATTAAAATCATACCTAGAATGAAGAGTATTGGTATTCCAGATTCCAGTCAAAATGTGATTTTCTTGCTCCTGCCCAGATAATAATTCAGCACTTCAATCAGAAGTCAACAAACTCTTGAACTCCACTGCACTATCTGCACCTGCTCTGTTATCATTTTAGGGGGGAGAGAGAGGGGGGAAGGACTAAACATAACCACACACTTGTAACACACATGCCTCTTACTATAATACAAAATGTATTTAAGACAAATTTTGACATTTAAAACTACAACCTGTCCATTTTTTTGTTTAATAAAAATTTATAAATAAAAAAAACTTTTAAAATATACCACGTTTGTAAACACACTAAAAAGAAGGAAATAGTTTATAAGTTTATGGAGGGAATAAATACTTGTAAGATTTAAAACGAAAAACGCAGGGGGCAAGCAATAGATAATTGACAAGTTTCTTCACCTATTGAATTACTAGTTATTTTTAACCTCAATTAGGAAATATAGAAGTAAATCATACAAACAGGATGTACTTTGTGAATTTGTTTGTTATCTATGACAACTATTATTATCTATTGCAAGTGTCCCACGGCTTTTGTTTTAAATCTTACAAGTATTCTCGTATTCTCTCCACATAATATTTATAAATTTGTTCTTCTTTTTAGGGCGTTTAAAAACGTGGTATTTTTTATTTATTAATTACAAGCTGTACCCGCGGGCCTTGCCCCGTTTAACTTCTTAATTTTCAAGATGAGCTCGTTCGCATGGCTCAATCACGTCCTGGTTGAAGTTCGTTCGCTACGCTCACTCACCTTTAGGTTGGAGCTCGTTCGCTGCGCTCACTTGCCTTCAGGTAAGCTCGTTCGCTACGCTAACTCGCCTTCAGGTTGAAGTTAGTTCGCTACGCTCACTCACCTTTTGGTTGCAAATTAGCTGTTGTCATAAATAAAAAAAAAAATAATAGTGCTGCACCCTGTTGGTAATCCTTGTAACTTTAATGCTATTGAACATCATAGAACAGAACCATCTTGTTTGATTGAAACAGCTGATAAGATTCATTAATTCCTTTTAAATATGAAAAATCATAAGGTTAACATGGGAAAATCCAGAGCCACTGGGGCGGAGTCCGATCAGAATAAAAACAACTTAGTTTTCCTATTTAATGCCTAAAGAATCGGTGTACCAAATTTCAGCCTCCTAGGTAAATGGGAAGTGGGGGAATTAGTGATGAGTGTGTCAGTGAGGGCTTTGCCTTTTATTGTAATTAAGATTTAAGCACCGTTATTTATTAATTATTTTCTACTTGTTAGTCTTTAATGAGTAAATATGATAAATCTATTATATGTGGTCTGTTAATGCATATAATCCAAAACCTTTTTATCTGTAATCAAAAAATTTTTAATTTTTACCGTCATCTTTACCATTTTAAAGTACAGTCTGTTTTTTTTAGAATCTCTCGGGAGCAGTACCTGTGCCTCTTAACCTCTGCTCTTTGAAAAAACTGTCAAATTACAGCTAAATTCAATTATTTATATATTTGACTATTTACATTTACATTCTTCCAAAACATTGAAACTTTGGAAGCTCATGGGGCGTAGCCAAGGGAAATATGAAAGTAAAATGATTTAAATTGCATTGTCATCCATTTGTGAGATATATTTCAAGTTTCAAGTCTCTAGCCAATCGGGAAGTTAGTTTAAAATCGATTGCAAAATTTGCACCGAACAGACAAGAAAGCGAGCTAATAAAAACTTGTTAACAAGATAGTTTTCAAAAAAGTTTTTGTATAGAAATATTGCTTCCACTTATTTGAAAAAGTAATGCTAGTGTTTTTTAACACAACCCAATTTAAAAGTACCTCGAGATGCTGTTAAAAAAAAAACAAGCTTTTGTTTTGGTATCTGTGTTTACTTTATTTCTGAGGTTTAGTGTTATTGAGGTTATTATATAGAGAAATAAACGGTATCAGCATTCTGACACATACTTTCTCCCATAAGTTTGTCAAAAACCTTTATCATATGTGAGTGGTGAGAGTAAATATACGAAAATGGGATTTGTACAATTTTAATAAGAATTTAAAGGACTATAACATGCTAAATTTTTATCAAAATCGTCTTGGCCATTTTTGGGAAAATCCGATTTTTCTGTTATTTTATGGGGGTTTTATGGGAAAATGACATAATTTACAATAACCGTAATTTTTACAGAAATGGGATTTGTACCATTTTGTTCAGAATATAAAGGACTATAACATACTAAATGTTTATCAAAATCGTTAGTGCCATTTTTGGGAAAATCATATTTTTCCGATATTTTATGGGGTTTTATGGGAAAATCCCCATTAAAAATAAAAAAACTATAAAACTGTAAGGACTTTAACATACTATGTTAAATAAAAACAGGATTTTTTTCTAAAATCCTATTTTTCGTTAATTTATGGGGTTTTTATGGGAAAATAACATATTTTACCATAACTTTTGAACCGTAATTTTTACAGATATGGGATTTGTACCATTTTATTCAGAATTTAAAGGGCTACAACATACTAAATGTTTATCAAAATCGTTCGGGCCATTTTTGAGAAAATCCGATTTTTCCGGTTTTTTATGGGTTTTTATGGGAAAATTCCCATTAAAAATAAAAATTTCAAAAAAATGAAAAAAACGCCTGGAGATACCATGGATTAGAACTTACATACCAAATTTCATCGAAATCGGACTACAGGTGTGGTCTCTAGCTCTGTACACATCCAGACACACAGACACACACACACACACACACGCACACACACACAGACATCACTTCGAAAACCACTTTTTTGGGTCCAGGGGGACCCAAAACGAATATATCCACTCAAAACTCAAACTCGAAAATTTTGACGAAAACAATACTTTCTCCATATACTATGGTATAGGGGGAGAAAGTAAAAAAATGGATTTGACTTAAAATGTGGAGAAAATGTTGGTAATTGGGATAGACATAAATAAAACATAGATTGTGGCACTTATATTTAATGCATAAATGTTAAATAGCAACACAACTTAAACATCAATAACAAACTAATAATAAAGAAACTAAAATTCAACAATATTAATATTGACTAGAGAAAATATCATGAGTCTTAACTCATACTGTATTTGGCAATAGTAAGAATAATATAAAGAATTATCCCAAGATTATATACCATAAAATAAATACATTTTACCGGGCAACATAGTCATAAATAATTATAATATTACTTAATACCAAAATCTAATTGCTTATCAAATTCAAATATTTCGTAATATTTGCATGAGTAAATTTTAAGAACTGGTTATTTCCATTTTGTAGAAGATGAAATGTTGTATTGAATATATTATATTACATTAATCTAAATATCTCATAAAATCAATTCTCTTGAAAATTCTTCTCATTTTTTATTTTTGTAGATTACAGTGATTGCTTTTACAATATTTGTGAACTTTAAATCCTTATATAAAATACAATATATTGGATACAATTTTAAATACATAAGTCAGGTGCAGCGTTTCACATGTATTTCAACGCTTGGATTTAACCTAACCTAAAAACGTTTTGTATAGTGTATGAAAGACTAATTATTTATATGCTTTATAGTAACCGTAGGAAAAATATAATGTGTAACGCAAGTGCAAAGTGCCTTTGCTGCACTCGAGAAACTTTCAACATTGCCTGCGGCTTGTTCGTAAATATTTCTCTCATGTGTAGTAAAGTGCCACTTCGCACACTAGTTACACAAAATAATAACTATTGTTACTTCAAGTCAAACTATAAATAAGCTTGGGAATATGACTTTGATGTTTTAGCTTATATAATATATTTTTTCTGTTCTAGGATGCTAGGCCCAAGCCCAGTATTGTTTTTCACATTACTTCAGGCTAGGGCTAGGGGCATTAAATTTTTTTTAAATCACTGGAATAAAATCCAATTGATTTGGTGGGATTTGAACCTGGGACTTCGGGGACCAAAGTCCTGCACTCTACAACTAGACCAATTGCTCCCCTATATCAATCACATTAATGTTAACAGAAGCGATTTAAAACTTTGCAATCTGTTTGACCAACTTCACGTCGTCTTAATCGGTTTGATTCCCAGCTGTACTAACCGTAGAATTTGTAGCGACTTGAATAAACTTGATCACTTGAACTAGTGAGCAACTTTGAAACTAAAATTATTCCAAGCTAGTGGAGGAAAAGCCACCATAATCGCTGCTAATGAGCTGATGCATGGAAAAAGTGGTCAGTAAACGGCAGAGACAGCTGATATTGATATTAGTCAAAGCTGTTTAAATTGACAATACGGTTAGTATGACTGGCAAAATGAGCTTAAAGAGTCAAATAAAAACCGAGGTAACATCCAAGCTGGAAATGGGTTGTAGTTAGGCTTTCAATCTACTTAAAGAGTATTTCTTTACTATTAGTTAAGTACCTTATGAATTTGAAAATGCAACGTTAATTAACAATGTTAAGTTTTTTACTTAATCATTATACAGGGTGGGGCAGCATAACTTCCTTTTTTTAATGTGTGCTGTTTTGTTTGTCCATGTCATAGCGAAGAGGTAGCAGTCTCGTTCGAGAGGCGAAGCTATAAAGTTTTGTCCTTAGTCGTCATTATGCGTTAGAACAGTGAAGAGAGTGCGTTTGCCGTTCAGGCCTACTTTTCAAATGGATGTTCAGTGATCGCAACCCAGCGCGCCTTTCAGAATCGGTTTAATTTAGCCCCGTTGGCACTTGTACCGGATCGCAAATCATTTGTTATGTGGTTCAATACGTTTAGACAAACTGCAAGTGAAACAAAACGAAAAAACTGGAGTCCCATTAGTTCACCTGAGAACATTGAGGCAGTGAGAGCTTCAATGTTGCAAACACCAAGACACGCGCTCAAACAGAAGCGGGTTTTTGTCTTGTGCGCTCAAACATGAGTCTCCACTTGGACTTTCCAATCGTTCTGTAACGAGAATTCTCCATGATGACCTACATTTCCATCCATAAAAGATGGTGATTGAGCAGGAACTGTCAAAACGCCTTATTTCAATCAGGGGCGATTTGCAATGGCCGGCTCAATCTCCCGATTTGTCCTCTTGCGACTTTTTCTATGGGGATTTTGAAGTCCCACGTTTATGTGGACAGCCCAAGGACCCTTGAAGATAAAAAAAAACAAGATCCAGGAAGAAATTGCCAACATAACGCCTGCTATGCTTGAAATGGTGATGGCAAACACTAGAAATCGTCAAAAATCGGTATACTCAATGTATCTAGAATGGGGGACAACACCTGCATGATTTACTCTTCAAAACTACGTAAAACAAAACTTTAGGAGTTTACTTACATTGTAAAAACCAAATAAAGTTTGCCCGACTCATACAATACATTTTATTAAGCTTTGAAAAAAGGAAGTTATGCTGCCCCACCCTTTAGGTCTGATTGCATTTAAAAATAATTTCTCCCATTTGACTAATCAGCTTAAAAGGGTATATTTTATTAAATAAAAACTCCTAAATAAAGTAACATACGACAACATGCTGTAAAATTGATCTTTACCTTAACCACTTAAGTCCCTAGCACATTTGTATAGTAATTCATGATATAAAACAATACAGTACTTTAAATTGCCAGCATGGTCTTTGAATATTTTGATAGTTTGTACATCACTGGTATAAAATTAAAGCACAAAATCCAAAATGTGTCAATAATCAAGTTTGAATAGAAACTGCTTCTAGGCTTACTATGGACTTTAACCCTTTAAACCAAGAGGGTAATTTGATTAAGCCTATTTTAATGTTTCCAGCATCTTATGAATGCAATGATCGAACCTAACATTATTACTTCAAACCTAACATTCAACCTTATTGGTTCCAAATTGCCTCGTCAAGCACAGTTGTTGACCATTTTTTTTACTATACTGCCATAAATGGATTAGTTGTGTTGTTTATGGTTTCTAATGACTATGAGGCTTAAAGGGTTGAAATATTAAAATTAATTCACCATCAAGGAAGTTATTTGTAGTGAAACTCGTCTGATTTCTTAGTACAAATTTCACAAAATATCAAAAATAGGAAGTTCCTGAGAAACATGGGCACGCCTCAATTGCACCCTGGACTACAGTAGACTCCCTCTTATCCGGACTACTCAGGACCAAGGGCAAGTCCGGATAATGGGTTTTCCGGCTAAACCGACATCCCTACAAATTTGGAATAACTCGAGAACTAATCCAAATATTTTACTTACAAGAACATTACATTTAGAAACGTGATCACTGGTCTGAAATCTTTCCCACAAGAACAGTCGTTTAAATATTTTCCACTTCTTGTCGAGTGTAGTCCGGTTAAAAGGTGTTCGGATTAGAGGGAGTCAACTCTATTAATGGAACATCAGTATCCAAAAGTCAATGATTGCGGTCACAGAATTTTTTTTGCAAAATCAGGAATTATATGCCTGAGTTTAGTTTTTAGTTTACTGACTCTAACTAGGCTCGATGGAAATACAAAAATTGAAATGATAAAAACTCTTTGACTGTCATTATTCATTGTGAACAAAAGTTATATACTAAAATAAAAATGATCGGTATTCATTCCACAAAAATATTTTTTGACAATATACATAAGATATATTACAACAATAAATTCCCTTACTGTTAGTACATTAACTACGAACACTAAATTTATATATAGTATATACATTGGTATAGAGTAATTTATCAGTCATTAGTTTTACACAACTAATAGTTGCTTTGACTAGAATCTTTTACCTTACTCTCTTACTGTTGTTCTTCTGTATAAAACTAAAATATCAGTATTAGTAGCTCTAAATAAATAATCAACTAAATATAACTTTGAAGCTATGGGCCTACATAAATTAAATGGTAAGCTAGCTTATGGAACAAAAAGAAAAAAAAAACAAGCTGATCCCAAATTATAAAAAAAGAAAGATAGCACACACTACTTTTCCTGTATAAAGTACATCTTCACTTAAGCCATTTACTTACTTTTGACACTCCAGCAAGCATTTAAACTACAATGAGAACCCTATGTTTCCATTTAGCTTATCAATATTATTTCATTCTGCGGCAACTTTCCTCTCAGGATTGATTTTCACCCGGAAGCATTCAACAACTGGTTTCTCTTCGACCATACTCTCTCTGACTTTGAAGCATTGCACCGATGGAACTATTTCCGTCTCGGGATTCATTCTGAGGTAATCTGGGATTCCGAGGTCTTGCATTGGTTTCATCCTAAAAATATCTTGTAACCTGATTTCTTCTGCATTGGTTCTCATTCTGAAAGAAAAAGAAATAGATTATTTCAATAGAAATGAAGGTTTTGGCCATACTTTCACCATATGCTTTACATTGAAGTCAAACAAAAAAAAAACTTAACCCTTCCAGGGCTATGGACGGATATATCCGTCAATCTTTATTTACTTTCCGGGCTGAAAACGGATATATCTGCCCCGAGAAATTTATTTTCTGGGATAAAGAATAAAGATGGATATATCCGTCCAAAAAACTAATTGATATACGATGTTTATAATAGGGTAAAAACATTGCATTATAAATAGGTTATTTTGTTTTTGTTGTTGGCAATAATAATTGCTGCAGCTGTTTCGGCTATTTTGCACCATAGAGTGTGCGTAAGTAAATATTGCTGTCACTTCACACATGGTTGTTAGTGAGTGATGTTTACATTTTGTGTTTTCTACTTTATTTTTATGTTATTGAGCTAAAGTTACTAATGCAAACGATCTGAAATTTGCAGATGTTATCGAGATGCTTAATAAAAGTACGTCTGAGGGGGGTTTTATACTTGACAGTGAAAATAATAGTATGGAATGTGATGGATATGATGTACCTGAAGAACAGTCTTTACGTAGTGGAAGTCTTGGCGGGGAAAGGGATTGAGGACATGGGAGCGGAACTGAATGGTTTAGATTTACTTCAGAATGATAGATACATTTTTATGAAAAAAATAAAAGAAGGGAAGGAATAGTCTAAGGTTGACGGATATATCCGTCTGCCGCCAACAAGAATACTCAAGATTATTGGCAGTGTTCATATTTTGTAATTATCACTGAGGGCTGCAGACGGATATATCCGTCCACCTTATGTTTTTTGTGGGCCAAAGACGGATGTATCCGTCAAATCAAATTTTATTTTCTTCATAACTTTAGTACAAAAATTAGTTCAGCCCTAAGGAAAATCCTTTTATGATCCATGAATTATTTCAAGTGAAATAAGTACAAAACACAACCACTTTAGTTTTTAATTTTTGGCAAAAAATAATTAAGCTCCAGCCCTTCATTTAATTTAGCCCTGGAAGGGTTTTAGAAGGTACCAGCAACCAGAGCATAACTTATAGGTTTTTATCAGATAAATCATAATAAATGCAATAACTTTTGAACTGTACTTTTTACAGCATTAGGGGTTGTGCCAATTTGTTCAAGGTTAAATGGACTATAACCCCCTAAATTTCAGTCAAAATCGTTCAAAAAGTTTTGTCAAAATCATAAGTTTTCCATTATTTTTAAAACCACAATTTACATAAAGGGAAAAATTCCAGGGCTGACTATAGCGTTACAGAGACGTTCCCTATTAATTTGATTACCTCTCTAGTTTTTTGAACACTTTTTCTACATCCTAACACTTTAGTTCACTCATATCAGTATACTGGTGATGGACATCAATAGCGGTTGATGTCTGAGACCACAGAACTCTCTTCACATTTAACACGCTTTAAATACTTTATGCGTGTTGATTTTTTTCACAACATTTTTTTTTACTATGAAGAGACTAACCGTCCCAATTGGGTGGTAACCAACTAGAATTTTAGTGGATAAATTAAGGAAATAGAAATTGTTCTTAGTTTTGAACTAGCTTGACTGCCATGATAGCTTGATGGAGAACTTATCTTGCAGACAACCCTCATAGATATAAAGTGTAGCAATGTCGTACCTCATATCAAACCCGGCCATGTTGAGTTCCGCAGGTACAGCCATGGGTACGGCTCCGTCGCCACGGTGCACCCTGTTGTGGTGACGGATGAGGTAGCTGTCCTTGGCGAAGGTGCGGCCGCAGACATTACAGCCAAACATGTGTCTGGCTGCGTGAGTCCGCATGTGTTCTGTGTAGTGAACCTGCACAGTACATCCAGATCATTGGTTAAAATACCAGCAGTAATGTCAAGTTATTCTGTTGTATGTTGAAAAATGGTTTTTACTTTCTAATTTAATTACCTTTGCAATGGTCTTATTTAATTTCCATAACTTGTTTCATCAACCAAATTGATAATATACACTGCTTTAGCTAACATACCAAAATGAATTTTGACTGAACATTTTAAATAAAAATTTGTTAATGACTAAATCGCCAAAAAATGATCAGACACTCTAGTAAATTTTCTCACCATTCATGACTTAAGGCTAATTGTCTCACCAACCACCTCGGGTCTGATTTGGACTTGATTTGAAGGGGTAGAGTGTTACACAATTTGATTTGGATTGCAAGCAAGAAGTTTTTGAATGGGATGGTGTTCTCAAATGGAGTTATTATGAATTAGTAAGTGGCTAATTTGTGAAAATGAGAAACACTTTACTTTACGAGAGTGCGTGCCTAGGGAATATACAAGGAAATGTAAGAATCATTGATGTTCAACACACATCCCTACATTTATATCTGTAAAATCAAATCAAATAATTTAAGTTTTTATTTTGTCAAATAGTACAACAACATTACAATATGTAACTCAACAAATACCACATGCGTTCACAACTCACAGGTTGTCTGTGAGTGATACGAGTTCTCGCTGGCTGTGTGATTGGTAGTTGCTATTTCCCATTTTTTTATTTGATGTTTTGTTTTCTTTATCCAACCTAATTTTAGACAGGACAAGGGGGCTACGGATAGTAGGGCTATAGATTAAGTAAGTAATCTAATAGACTCAGATTCTATTGCCGACTTTTTGAGATATTTAAATATAGGCCTACTATAGATGACTGTAAAATACGTGAATTTTTGAATTGACTAAAAAACCATAACATACTCCCTTAGCAGATTTGTCATCCTTATGGAACAGCTGAAGCCAACTTTATTGTTAGTTCTGTACGTCCAACTGTAGGGATCGTGTTTTGTTTACAATTTGTTTCTTTTTATTTCAGTAATTTAAAACCTCATTTAACCAAATAAAATGATATAGGCCTAATCATAAACAATAACTGGTCTCCTAGTTATATATCCAAACAGTAGAGCACAAATCATGAAAATAACCCTAAAATAATAGAAACAAAATTTTGTCTACCCCAGCGATTAGTGAGTACGTCCATGAACTAGACACAAAAAACAAGCTTCAAAATTTACAATGGGATGAGGAATCTACTTGTGTTGCTTAGTCTATGCTATAACTGTGAGTGGGGAAAATTGTTCATTAATCTAACAGCCTTTTACTGAAGATTTGAAGGTAAGTTTACCTTAGAGGTGAAGACAACGCTACACCGGTCACACGCCAAAGGACGATCCCCCACATGACTGAGGCGATGGGTGTTGACATAACTCTTCACAGCGAATCTGAGAAACAGTATGTTGTAGCATTGGATTACATTGTATTTATACAACATAGACTCACTAGAGTCTGTATTTTCACCCTTTGAATGCAGTTGGGGGGGGGGGGGGGGGGGATATAAATGGTATTATTAACTGTAGCTTTTTTGTTATTCTGTTTGTCCAACATTAGGTTACCCAAGTTCTAGTATATTTGAGGCTTATAAGGTGTAAATTATACCCCTCCTGAAAATAACATCTTATTTAAAATCTTATATTTAGCTTATATTACCTTTTATTGCAAATATCGCAAGAGTATGGACGTTCGCCAGTGTGTACACGTTTGTGCGTGTTGAGACTGCTCTTCTGGGTGAAGCGTTTTTGGCAGATCTCACATTGGTAAGGTCTCTCTCCTGTGTGCGTGCGCATGTGCACCTCCAAGTACGGCTTACGGCAGAAACTAGCCTCGCACATCTGAGGGGATGGAAATAAGTTTAGTTAAACAACTAAAAAAAATTACAGTCTTGACTTACCTGATACAAATATTAGGATTGTTTAAAAAATAAAGTCTTATACAATATAGCTGGTTATAATACTAGGTCGGTGATTTGGTGGTTCATATGATAGCACAACAGGCAAGTAATCAAAGGCAGCAATGTTGTGGGCTTGTATCCAGGAGACGCCACTATTTATCAGTAAAGTTCATCCTTGTATTGTATCAGCTAACTCTTTGCTTTCTTTGATAAGTTCTATGCACAGGCCGGAGGCCAATATAAACAGTCATATGCAAGAATAAAATAGAACATCAACTTCTTTTACACACAAGAAACACACTGTAGGAGACTGCCTTTGGGACTGAAGTTTTGGAATAAATTTAGTTGGGCCAATTAAAAGACCCTACTTCCTAGTCAGACAGGCACTCCACTCCAACTGTTACAAAGCTTCCCAAAGATCAAGAAAATTTGGGTTTAGTAAAAATTAGCCACTTTGTATGTCACATTCATGAGTTGATACTTGCTTAAAACTTGCAGTATGAATTTACCAGACAAATTTTCTCCCATACGTTCTGTTTGTATTAATGGGTATGATAATCTTCTGAGATTAATAGTCTAATCAATAATTTCTACCAAAGGCCTATGTAGGCCTATTAAAAAGTTTATAGAAATTTATAACATGAAATAAAATATTTGAACATGGAAAATAGTTCTTGGTTGTTAGGCCTACTTACGGTGCAGGCAAACGGCTTGTTCTCTGAGTGCATTTTCATGTGGACATAATAGGACGATGGGGAAGACAGGATCTTGCCACACACGTTGCATATTTGTGTTTTCTTTGTACTGTTGGTATCAATGGAGGGCGGTTGTTCGTCGATTGTCAAGGCAGTGGGAGAGTTGCGGTCGGATTTGTCACTACTGCTTTCATCTTCACTCTCCTCGTTTTGGCAGTTGTAAAAACTCATCTGGAAATTAGTTGGGAATTGAATAAAATACATAGCCTAGGTGGAAAAAGCCCAGCTGTGATTGGAAAATTGTCTTATAATTAGTAGAAAAGTAACTAAGGACCTGAGAGTATTTTTTTTTTTTGCTTTGGCTTAAATGTTTCAGTAGTGCCACAGAGAAGTAAGGTAAACAGGAAACATTCAACAGTAGGCCTACACATAAGTGGTGCATAGCACTAGTCACTGAGTGTCTAGGGCAAAATCCAACACTGCCCTCCTCACCCTCATGTACTAAAACGCTCATGGTGGGGGAAGACCCTGTACAGTGCTCGCTGCTTGGGCTCTTCCTAGCTTATCACAAGTATAGCCATAAAATGTTCTAATAACTTTTTAAGAAACCACCTTTATAACAATAATCATAATTAGGTTTAACAAGTTCGCTACTGAGCGTCGCATATATGCGACGCCGCAATCATTGCCACAGACCGAGGTATACATTTGAATCTTACACATAGACCAGCTGTCACTTGGTTAACAGTACACACAGACCACGGGCAAAAACCTGTAAAACAGTGATCATTTACTTTGTAATACGCTGCAATAGTGTTTGTAAATAATTTATTCTTGTTTTTTTGTATTTTTTATAACCTTTTGTAATTTTGCATATTTGCGACGCCCAGTCTACAGGGAAGACAATAGTGAAAATTATCATAGTTTTCTTGAAATAGCTAAACGCCGCATATAGGCCTATGCAACAGTTAATTTTTTTTTTTTGTTTGAGGTGAAAGTAAGTAAAAAAACAAATTATTCAAGAACAGTTTATAACTCAACAAATATAAAAGCAACATCTATGTAAGGATAATGCCAAGATAGACCAAGTGACGCAGTTGTGCATCAGAAATAGAAAAATCTTTTACTATTTCAGTAGCAAACGTGTTAAACAAACTTGTAAAATCTTGATGCCATATTATTCTTAGATTATAAAAACGAATATGCCATCTTAAATAATTGAATTGAATTGAATTGAATTCTTTGTTCTGCAGCAGACTAGAATGTGTAGTTTTTAGGATGTCAATTTAAAAAAAAAAATTGAATTTATATATATCCGGCACCACATATTTAGAGCTGAAAGTGCAAGGTTGTACCAAACAAGTTTCCTCTGTACCTCACTTCTCTGGTGTCACCTAAGGTTACATTGTCAACAATATAGCCTACTCTCACCACCACATTTTCCTGTAATACTTTAGCAACAATATTGGTTACAAAGGTGGAATGTCCGTGGTTTAAGAATGAAGATGGAAGTAAATAATAACACATTTTACAGTTAAAAATGCCGCGGCCGATACGGGCGGGACTAACACGGGAGTTGGTTACATCACGGGAGCTGCTGGAAGACTGAGAGGAAAAGCCGGGAAAATAGGAGCGTGGTCAGGCTGTGTTGTGATTGGTCGGTTGAGGGTGGCGTGATGATCGGACCACGGCAACGGTTTATTAAGTCAAACACTGCCATCATGATACATACATTGACAATAGTTATATACAGCAAGGTGTACTATATGAAATACACTACATTTCCTCCCCCTTAACTTTGATGACTATCAAATCATATATAAAATTGATAAAACTGTTTTGAATTAGAACATAAATATAACACGATAATTATCGGCAAAATACTCATCACGCATTGTAATAGAACACAACAATAGTTACACACATAATATAAAATCAATAAAATATTACTGAACCGTTATGATATCTGAAATTCAACTCAAACCAAAAATTATACCATAATAATAATAAAAATCAATTGTAACACACAAATAAAAGAATATAGAATCTGTTAAAACAATGAATAAACACAGCATACATGAATACATCATAACTCAAAACAATATCCAGAACATTTGGTTTAAGTACATATATTTTACAAGTCAAGTTTCTTGGTTGGTTTACGTTCCCGAGTAGGGTAACGTCGATCTACTACCGTTTGTTTTGGACTATCAGCTGTTACTATACTACGTGGAGTAGGAATGTCTGCTATGACGTCAGACTTCCGCCTAGTAGCGCTCGCGCGGTGTGGTGTATTTAGTTTTGGACTACGCGATTGTTGTGGCGGTGTACCTGAAACAGCTGATGCCCCCACTACTACTACTGGCCGTTGCTCACTTGACAGACCTGGTGGCAACAATGGTACAGACGCTTCTCTGTCAATACTAAAAGTGGGTGGTATACTGTTTACCCCTATTATTTGGTCAATATGACGCTTCCATATTACATCATTTTTCAACCTAACCAAATAAGACACTGCACTTAATTGTCTAACTACTACACCTTCTATCCACTTACTTCTACCCCTATAGTCACGAACAATTACTGGCTGACCCTCAAACAACACTCGGGTCTTACTTCCGCCATAATTCTGAATCTGTTTACTCTGTCGGTCATGTACAAACTGTGGTAGGTTTGGCCTGATCAAATCTAACCTACACCTTAATGATCTATTAAACATCAATTTTGCAGGGGTTTCGTTGGTGGTTAAGTGCACAGAATTTCTATAAGCTAACAAAAACTTACACAAAGATAAATCTACACTGTCGTTACTCATAATAGCTAGCTTAATTCTTTTCTTAACATTTTTGACAGAGTTTTCGGCTAGACCATTTGTAGCTGGGTGAAATGGTGGTGTCAATGTGTGTGTGATTCCATTAGATTTCAAAAAATCTTTAAATTCAAAAGAAGTAAACGGTGGTCCGTTATCAGAAACTATTTGGTGGGGAAGACCAAATCTCGCAAATAGTGGTCTGAGCTTAGCAATAGTTTGTTTGGCTGCCGTAGAGCTCACTTCTTCTACTTCCAACCACTTACTGTGAGCGTCTTCTATGATGAGATACAATTTACCATTAATGGGGCCCAAGAAATCAACATGTAGGCGTTCCCATACGTTTTTGGGGTGTTCCCACACATGTAAGTTACACTTAGCTGGGCTCTGACGTACCATCAGACAGAGTGAACAGCTGTTAGCTAGATTTTCTATATCCGCATCTAGACCAGGCCACCAAAAGTACGATCGGGCCATGGCTTTCATCTTAACAATTCCGAGATGCCCACAATGTAATTCTGACAAAAGCAACTTCCGTAAATTTTGAGGTACCACTATTCTATGCCCCCACATAATGATACCGTTCTCAACAGCTAATTCACTTTGTCGCTGGTAGTAGGGTTTTAGATTCTCGTCAGTACTTGGTGCATAGTTTGGCCAGCCATACAAAACATAACCTAAAACTTTGTTTAACACAACGTCCCTTTTTGTCTCTTCTCTTACATTATTAAAATTAACAGGAATGTCATTTTCTTGAATATATTGCAAATACGTGCCCACATAGTTTACATCGTCTGACTCAAAAGGAAAATCTCTTATATTTAAGGGCAATCTAGATAGGCAATCGGCGTTGGCATTCGCCTCTGACCTCACGTACTTAATTTCAAAATCGTAATTAGTTAGGAAGAGCGCGTAGCGCTGAAGTCTGCTGGCTGCGTACGCAGGCAACCCTTTCTTAGGACCGAAAATGGACAACAAAGGCTTATGGTCTGTAATTAAGACGAATTTCCTACCATACAAATATTGGTTAAATTTTTTAACCCCATACACAATACCTAGTGCTTCCTTGTCTATGACACTATAGCCTACCTCAGCTTTTGACAATGTACGTGAAGCGTAACAAATCGGTTTCTCTGAACCGTCTTTCTGTCTCTGACTTAGTACACACCCTAAACCATAACTAGAGCTATCAGTAGCTAGGCTTACAGGTAAGTTAGGATCGTAATGTGCTAATATTGGTGCTGACACCAATTTACTTTTGATTAGCTTAAATGCTTGATCACAGGTGGCTGTCCACTCAAAAACACTGTCTTTTCTTAACAAATTATACAAAGGGGCTGCGATAGTTGATAAGTGGGGTACATACTTGCCATAGTAATTTACCATGCCCAAAAATGCTTTTAGCTGTGACACGTCAGTTGGTATGGGGGCTTTCTCTATAGCCCTTATCTTAGATGGTGAGGTGCTTAGACCTTCCTCACTCAAAACATACCCTAAATATTCAATCGATTTACGAAAGAACTCACACTTTTTCTTGCTTACTGTCAAACCATTAGCTTTAAGTTTACTACACACTTCAATTAACCTCTCTTTATGTACCTCATTGTTCTCACCCGTAATCAAAATATCATCCAGGAAACAAACTACTCCTGGAATACCTGCAAGAATGGTTTCCATTATCCTTTGAAAAATACCTGGTGCTGACGCCACACCATAGGGAACTCTATTATACATGAAAAGCCCTTTTGTAGTACTTATGGTACACAACTTTCTTGACTGCTCATCTAAACTCACTTGCTGATAAGCCTGAGATAGGTCGATTTTAGAGAAGGTTTTACCCTTTTGTAAGGTGTTAAAAAGATCTTCTATTCTAGGTATTGGATGTCTATCAATTACCAAAGAATCATTTAGTGAAGAAGCCCGAAAATCAGCACACAAACGTAACTCTCCTGACTTTTTAATAATCGGAACAACTGGACTTCCCCATTCACTGTTACTGACCGGTGACAAGATTCCTTCCTCTACTAATCGATCTATCTCTGCTTCTACTTTACTCTTTAGGGCAAAAGGAATTGGCCTAGGCTTCAGAAATCTAGGGACTGCATTATCTTTTAACACTAACCTAGCCGACTCGCCCTTATAACATCCTAGTTTGTCTGTAAATACTTCCGGGAACTTTTGATACAACTCACTTACGATTTTAGAGTCTCCTTCTATCACATTACAAATAGCTTTACTCTGACCTGAGTTAGCATACACCGTGTTGCTCCTTACATTAGGTATCTTAATTACAACCTCAAGATCTCGAATCCAATCTCTCCCCATCAAGGGATTCGCGCCCTTAGCAATCACATACAAGGTTAACTCTTTCATAACATCTCTGTACTTAACTCTTACGCTCAATTTACCAAGTGGCTTAATAGGCTGATTAGTATATGAACTTAATACTAAATTTGTACTTTGTAGGCTAACTCCAATGAGCTGAAATTCTCCTTGTAACAATTTTCATTAATGACACTTACACAAGCGCCACTATCAACTTCAAAATTCAAAGACCTGTTCTCAACTTGCAAATTTACCATAATAGGCCTTACCCTATCATTTGCTACATTACTCTCATCATTATCTAAGGCAAAAAGATTAGTTAAATCATAATCACTCTCTGTAGTCTGTTCATTATGTCCATCTTCATTTTCATCAACATAGTGCTGCTTACTATATTTCTTATGACTAGAATTATGAAATGTAAGTGGCTTACCCCTGTCCTGGCTTCGGCAAACCTTCGCTAAATGCCCTAGCTTTCCATATTTATTGCACTTATATGACTTGAACCTGCACACATTGGCCCTATGCCCTAGCTTTCCACAGCAAAAACACTTCACATCACTTCCACTTGACACTCTCTCCTCCCTCCTGTAGTTGGTTGACCGGCTCTGGCTCTGTTGTTGTTGTTGTTGTGGGTAGTGTTGACGTTGACCTCCATGACTGACACTGCCACTGTTGTTGTTGTGCGCCGCCGCCGCCGGCCCCTTCCGCCCGGCGTTGTAGTGAAGTTGCGTCGTCTGCTGTTGACCCCGCGCTGTCTGCATGCCCGACATCAGCGCCGCTGCACCTCGTTCCGCCATTTCCATATTGGTTGCTATGGTTACCGCCTTTTCAAAAGTCAGCTCCGCCTCGCCGAGTAACCGTTTCTTGATGACGTCACTCCGGGTACCGCTCACAAGCCTATCCCTCAAATAATCCGACAGATTGGTTTTAAATTCGCAAAACATCGACAGTTCCTTTAATTGCACTACGTAATCAGAGATTGACTCATGTTCTCTCTGAGTTCTCAAACTAAATTTATAACGTTCCGTTATAAACGATGGCGTTGGACTTAAATGTTTTTCAACTAACTCCACGATTTGATCAAATGTCTTATCCGCTGGCTTATCCGGTGCGCACAAATTCTTCACTAAATTATACGTTTTCAAACCCATGACCGTTAACAAAGTAGACACTTTTTTCTCGTTCTTAATGTCATTAGCGTCAATAAAAATTAATAACCTCTCTATATATGAGGACCACGTTTCTTCAGCTGCATCAAACGCATTCATAGACCCTATAAGACCTGCCATTTCATACTCGTTAAATAGTCTATCTATACAAACTGGTGAAACTCCTGACATATAAATTAATTTACGACTCACCGAATGTCTCGTTACACTGCAAACTCTTACCTCCCGTTACTGTCCTATTAATGTCCAGTTTGCACTTTTTCACTCTCACTGCACAGTTCACACACAGTTCCTTGAAGACGCGATCACGACAGTCCTTCCACTGTTGGTCACACAATTAATTGTTCACACGCGACAGCCCTTCCGCTTGCCGGTAACAATCTTCTGCACACACGCGACAGCCCTTCCGCTTGCCGGTTACGTGAATTCTCACTGCCTCGTCGCCAAATTGGAATGGCTCAAAGGCATCCTCGTCGCCAAATTGGAATGTCCGTGGTTTAAGAATGAAGATGGAAGTAAATAATAACACATTTTACAGTTAAAAATGCCGCGGCCGATACGGGCGGGACTAACACGGGAGTTGGTTACATCACGGGAGCTGCTGGAAGACTGAGAGGAAAAGCCGGGAAAATAGGAGCGTGGTCAGGCTGTGTTGTGATTGGTCGGTTGAGGGTGGCGTGATGATCGGACCACGGCAACGGTTTATTAAGTCAAACACTGCCATCATGATACATACATTGACAATAGTTATATACAGCAAGGTGTACTATATGAAATACACTACAAAAGGGTTGCAATAGTTTTGTAGATAATTATCTCAAAAACTGAAAGATATTTTATTTCAAATACACTGTAACAATAGCCTAGAACATATATGTGGTTGAACATTTTTTTTGTCCTAGGACGCTAGGCACGAGCCTGGGATTGTTTTTCACATTACTTCAGGCTAGACCTAGGGGTTGCGGCATTATCACTTAGATAAAATCCATTGGTGACTTGGCGGGGATCGAACCCGGGACCTCAGCGACTGAAGTCCCGCGCTCTGACCACTACGCCAGCTCGCTCCCCATGTGGTCGAACATTGGCCTATCTAAGGAGAAGGGGTCAAAGAACTTTTTCTAGGGGCTTCTTATTTTGGGCTAGTTGTATACAATCATAGACAAATAGAATAGGTTAAGACTGACAGCAGTGCTGCAGTTAGGATATATTCTGGCGTCCACCGCTAGGTGTGCCGTGTAGTTACGGCGTACACCGCTGCAGCGTCAAGCAGAATTGAATAGCGAGGAGCCGACGACGGCAGTGAATGATAGATGTGTCAGCTACGACAAAACCATGTCAACGGCCAAACACAACATCTAGGCTAGGTCTTTTAGTCGTGATAACACAGTAGGTACCTACCACTGAATTACATCCACTAATCTTTCTCCTCTCTATGACATTATATAGCCTACCATAGCACTACTGTGTTTTTTACCTCTGGCTCCACTTTAATCTGGTACTGTTTTTGCTGCTGAAGGAACTCCATGGCCCGGTACTGGTTCATGGCTAAATTGAAAGTGGCTTGGTTGAAAAACTGGTTCTCCGGCATCATACGAGGTGGAGGTACACATCTTACCTCTGCTTCTGCAACAAATAAAAAGCTCAGTTTAACTATTTAAACCTATTTGGCATTCATTGCAAATCTTTTTTTCCACACAAAAGTGGCATTTTTAATTGAAGTCAAAGTTAGTTAGGCCTACTAAGATTTAAAAAATTTTATATGAAAAGCAGTTCGAACCCATTGAAGTTTCTGTTCTGATCTTTTCTACGTTAGGCCTACGGTATATCGACTTTTGGATTAGTGTCAGTTATAGACACAGGCTTCTAACTGAATTTCAAAAGTTCATGTACGAACTAAGAATCATGAGAGCGAGGCCAAACTAGTTAGCGTATTTTTATGTTTAAGGACGCAAAATAACAAAAAAGTAAAAAAGCACGAGAAAAGGCAGAAGGGAAGCAAATTTAATTAAGCTAAGTAATTATGTTATCATTTTACTTTTCACTCGCATTCATATATCACTTTACGTTCATCTATATTTTCAATCTTTCAATATTGTATCATAATGTCAGCATGTCAATCCTGTTTAAATGGTGTAACCATAGATAAATAAATAAGGTGTTTTTAAGTAGCCTATGTGTAGTTAGTCTAAACTACGGAACATTTGAGCTAGCTTATATGACACTCTTATCTTTTGTTATGCTAAGTTTCATAAAAAGTCAAGTCTACAGAAGAATCTCAAATAAAGGGGTTTTTAGCAGGGCAACGTCATGGACTTGAGGGGCGTCGGATCTTGATGAACTTAAACAAGGCAAAATAATTAATGTTAAAACAAACAGAAAATGAAATACTTAAACAAATGTTTGGCTCAGCAAAGAGGTAAATTAAAAGAGAAGCGTGGTCGACAACTACAATAAGATTTAGATTAAGAAGCTCCTGTCAATACATCTTCCGGTAATGTATAGACAGAGTACTAACTTACTGTAAGTTGCCTAATAAAAAAATACCATAGCAATCAGGTATGTTACTTTACTTATAGGACTAGGCTATATATATATATTTTTTTTAATGATACTCACTAACTGTACCGAAAGCTTACTCACTGCAAAACACTGTAATTTATCCATATAACTGTCGGTAGCCAGAAATTAAAAGTAAGAGGACATTTAAGATGAGTAGTGATGTGACTTAAGAAAATTATAATTAAACCTAGCTAACCAAGATAACAGGAAAGTACCCCTAGCTATCATAAAATAAGGAAACCTCGACATTGCAAATCTAAGACCGGCAAGTTAAGTAATTTGGTTGGGGACCGCGTCTCGTTGTCCCGCCGTCAAGTTGTCCGTCCTACGTCTACTTGTACCTCGAGGCCTAGGGACAACTAGTCGTAGGTACAACTAGACGTAGGTACAAGTAGACGGTGGCACACCCGACTAGTTGTACCTGCAGATTTTTAGGAGGTACAACTAGACGTTGGTACAAGTAGACGTAGGTACAATTAGACGTGTATGTATCCCACCGACAAGTAGTATCACCTAGCTTGTACGGATGCGACCAGTTGTCCCTACGACTAGTAGTCCCTACGACTAGTGGTCCCTCCGTCTAGTGGTCCCTACGTCTAGTTGTACCTACGACTAGTTGTACCTACGCGTATTTTGCGTCCTTGTAGTCTAGTTGTATCTATACTTCAATTCGTTACCCTGTTTAATTGATTACTGCACGAGTACTTTTTAATAATACCCTTAATTAAAACAGGACTGCAGTGTTCCGAGTCAATTGAGTATGATTTGTAAATATTTTTCACCGCACTACGATGTTTTAGTAGTTTTACAGACGTTAATTGGAGGCTGAAAGCTACGCATTGCTGTCCAGGGTCGAAATGGCAGCTATAGTTGTAATTAAAATTTTCCAGCCCTAGTACCGAAAATCGCTTATTTAATTAAAACATTTATATATATCATTAAATATAGGCTACAAGCAGTATATCCTTAATGAATTGCAATAGACCGCTGCCTAGCAATTATGTATTACTATTTTTGCTGATTCCTTTAAATATTTTTTCACATAACCTTAAAAGACAATTTTAGTCATTCCGGTGCTCATGCTATATGCTATATGTAGCACAACCTCATTCGTATTGCGTATTGAAATGTCGTGCCGAAGAGACCTACTGCTCGCAGTAGCTATCACGGTGATCTTAGGATTTCTAGGAAGTCAGAGGCGGAAGCAAAGGTTTTAGGTTTGACCCCTTCTTGCTTTGAGAAATAAGTAGGGGAGAGTGGTGCAAGGTGGGACACGGTAGCCTATATAGTGGGACATTCCATATAACTTTTTTATCTTCAAAGCCATGTGGCCAGTTTCCCTCCAAAAGTGTTAAGTCATGGCCAACAGTGTGTTTTAAGTTAGTTCTGAAGTTTCAGTCATGTTGGAAAGTACTGAATGACAGTCTGCTACAACTATAGTCTCATAAGTTACATTTTTGAGGTAAGCAATCATCATTTTCTTATGAAATTAGTTTGATAAGCAGGTTAAATTTGATATGCCTAACATTAAAAAACCTTCTTTGTTCAATAGAAGGAGGTCAGGGATGTCTGAGATGCACTGTTTGGGGTAAAACTTAAAAACAATATAACCCTACATGTGGTACAAGGTGGGACAGTTATTTGTGGTATATAGTGGGACAATGTTAAATAAGGTGGTACAAAGTGGGAAATCGGTACATAGTGGGACAAGCAATTATAATTGATTTATTATACTATTATAGCAATTCATAATAGGCTATAAATACAAGCATACCCATAAATATATGACATGCCTCATCTGCTTGGTAGGTTACCAAGAATAGGACCTAGGGTTTGTTAAATAAAAAAAGCCCTTAACTTACTTCTCATGGTAAACCCTAACACGGTTTACCCAGAAACACAAGCATTGTCATAATTTTGTGTTAGGCCTAGGTATTTTTAAACTGTTTAGTACTTATATTTTCAATTAAACAATTCCTTTCTTCTTTTTTACCTACTTATAACATAAATAGAGTTTTAGCGGGGTCGGTTTTATGCAGAAGTAGACCTACATTTAACTCTTAAAATATAGACACATTCATTCATATCATAGTTATTCATCAAAGAACATTATAGTGAAATTTTACAAAAAAAATTATTTTTTCAGGTCCATAATGCCGAAGATTTGCCGCAAGAAGTTTTTGGAGCATGCAGAAGATGGAGCAATTTTGAGCCTTATAGCCTAGTTTAATTACTAACTATTTACTATAAGTTTTTACACGTCACATATATCAATAAATATTTTTATTTGTCTGAAACTGTCTTATTTAAGTATACCTTCTATGCATAACAGGATGTCCCACTTTGTACCATTTATTGTCCCACTTTGTACCATATGCTGTCCCACTTTGTACCATATTGCTGTCCCACCTTGTACCAGGGTCGGTACATGTTGGGACAAGTGGTATAAAGCGGGACAAACGGTTTTTGGCCTTTTAAATATAAGTTAATAATTTTGAAAAAAATATCATTAAAAGAGTTTTAAAAGTGCTTTATTTTTGTGTAAAGATTGTTCTTCTAAGTCAACTAATATTGAAGAAAAAAATGTTTTAATATTTTCGTCCCAGTATGTACCACTCTCCCCTACAGTTTAGCATATTTATTACGGGACCTTAATGATGACGATCACACTGACGATCCATAATTAAAACGCAAAATAAGGCAATGGTAGCTTCAAAAATGTTTTACATTGACAACAACGCCGGTTTTCCACGGAACAGTTCAATTAAAGTTTATAATAGAATCCCGATCCCACGCACTGACACTTTTCATTACTTCCATTGTAAACAAAGATCGCTGAGCAAAACCGTCCACACCCAGGAGGCTACAACTGTGAACTGATGACACTAAATATGCTACATATAGCAGATGCTAGACGAAAATTATTTGTATAACATTGCTACATAAAGCAATGTTAGATGTAAGTTAGCACATATTTCTTTTGATCTTTACCGACTCCCGATGGATCACAATTTTTGCTATATATAGCAGGATCTGCTACATAGGCCCTATAGCAGTGTTATATAACTAGGTTTATTTTATTTTTTTATTAATGACATAAGTTAGTTATCTTCAGTACTAGGCCATAGGTCTCCACTAACAATAACTTGTATAAAATTGAACCCTTAAACCCTAAGTGATAACTTAGCCTATGTAGCCTAGGCTAATTAAAATTTATCAAAATATTTGTAGTAAGAAAACATAATCATAACCTATAAATTGTTCCACCTGGAATTTTTTATTTAGAGAATCGAAATATAATTGAATCAAATTTTATCTTTTTAGGCGTTATAGGCCTAGCTTAAATAAAACAAAATGGCCAGGGATGCTAATTAGCATCGTTAATTGCCGGGTCAATACAAGGTGGCTTGCTCTAATTATCACTATACACACAGAAAAAATCACAGATAAACGTTACCTCTATCAGAACAAACAGAATCTGCCATCGAAACGATTATATATATACGCTAATATTACAATTAGAGAGTGAAAATTATAAATACATCGAGAGATTTTTACATTTTAGTCTGAAAAAATTAGACACAAAGTGAGAACGATTCTTTTGTTTACTTTTTTCGGAGCAGACAGCTTTAAAAAAACATGACAGCCGCAAATTTCCCACTTTTAAAAATAAAATCACCGCTTTGTAAAAATGTAAAGTAATTGATATAGTCATGTAATTTTTAAGGAAAAATATTTGACGAATATTCGTTTACATTTTATCGTAATATGTCTTACTAAACTCTTAAATTAAAAATAAACTTCTATCAGTATTTAAACTCACTGAACTTCAGTGATAAGTGAAAATAAGGATTTATTTTAGTAGTTATACCATAGATGAAGTAATATAATTTTACTTATATATACTTATTTACTTATATACTTATATATACTTACTTATTACTTATATATACTTATATATACTTATATATACTTATATATACTTACTTACATATACTTACATATACTTACTTATATATACTTAAGTATATTACTTATATATACTTATTATATATACTTATACTTATATAGTATTATATTACTTCATCTATGGTTATACGAACCGATGAATTCTACAGAAATAGAACAAACAACTAATAGAAACAAACAAGTAAGTACAGTACCTAGTACGCTAGTAGCATTCGAATTAGGAAAATTTAATGCATTGTTGAGCATTCCAAAAAAGTAGTCTGGCTACAGAACAGTACCAACAATATCTTCGTTGCCATGACCATGATGCGGCGATGCGCGTGACTATCCTACCTGCTGCTATCATTAGCTTTGAATAGTGCAAATAAACTAACCTTGCTACTAGGACATGTGGAGTTTGTAATTTCTCGCCCTATATTGTAACATCTGAAGCCTGCTTTCATTTTCATTTGTGTTACATATAGGCGATATATATTTGAGCCCGCCCCAATATCATCTCGATGTTGGATTGTTTAAAAATAGCAATAAACAAATTAATAGCATGTATAAACATTCCCTAATTACCCGTGTTTTAGCATTACAACGAATTTCATCTGTGGCTACATGTGTTTGAATATAAATAGATATCATGACGTGTTTTTATCTATTCATAGCGTAGGTACATCTTTTCAGGAACAACTGGATAGCTGAGTGGGTAAGCTCACCGGTCCAATCCATTGTAAAGCCAGTAGCTTTTTGACATTTTAAAGTGAGGTTTTGCTATGCAAAATGAAAAACACTAAAACACATATAAGTTCTAACTCGGTTTGTTAGAGAATTGGCCGTACAAATGTAATGGCTGTTACAATGCTGTCGGGTTGATCCTGAGCAAAAGCAGTCTAATGCTGTCTTAGGATGATTCGAATCTCGACCTATAGCTGTCTCCTAACAACATTTGAGCTAAAAAATAACATCAGCACTGGTTGTAGTTGGTAACGAAACTGCACAAGACATCACCATAGATAAAACAAACATACTTAGTAGCTATTAGTAGATTTCTCATCCTTATGGTACCTGAAGCCATTTTTGTTGTCCGGTGCACTCATAGAAGAAAATAAATAATTATTGCACTGTTAAAATTTTTCACTCATAGTTTACGTCACCGTTGTTATATTTACTGTCATTGGTTTTTTAAGTCTTGTATTGTCTTGTGTATTAATATATTTTTGTTTTTTATTGTTATTATATTTTAATATTTATCAATTGTTATCTAGTTTTGGTAATCGTTATTTTTCTCTCAAAATTTGTGTGCATGTTATCTAGGTACTTGAAATACGTAGAATCCAATAGTCAATGGTATGATCTAATCCTCACTAATCTTTCTCAATGCATTTTTGGTACATTCCTGTATGGATGTAATTTTTCATGTTTAGCAATCTTTTTTATTGTCTAGCAAGATGAATCTTTTTTTTAAACTTCATTTTATTTTACAATCTGTTCAGTACTGTGAACAATTAGTAAAAGGGATAATATAAATAAGTGTCTTGACCAAGAATCTCCCCAGTGAAAGATCTTGCAAAATTAAATAGTCATGTCATAACTAAAACCATACAAATCGGTATGGGAGTTCAAGAACTTTCACAATTTTCAGTCTGTTGGAAAAATCACTAATGAAATGAAATGAAATAATATTTTACTTCCCAACTGCTTAATACAATGTGTGGTATTTACATAATTATTATACAATCCTTAACTTCAAAAAAATAATTACAAAAGTATACTATATCTAAATGGCACAAAGAGAGAAAAAAATACCTTATCAAATTATAAGGAAAAGGTCTACATAGGCAGGGGCCTGTGCGTAGACATGAGTTGCGGGTTGTCCAGCAAATTAACGGCTATATTGTTCGGGTGGATTTCGAGTTTTTCTTGATAGTTCTTACTAATTCTTGTTATTTCTTCAATTACTGTAGGTATTCTGAAATCTTCATGGATTGTTAGATTCGAAACAAACCACGGAGCATCAACTATTCGTAGCGCCTTTTACTGAAATCTTTGAATAATTGCTAAGTTGGATTTGCTTGCCGTTCCCCAAAGCTGTATCCCGTACGTCCAAATAGGTTTGATCATAACTTTGTAAAGTGTGAGTTTATTGGTCAACGAAAGCTTTGATTTTTTGCCTAGAAGCCAGTTGAGTTTACGAACCTTCAAGTCCATTTGTTGTCTTTTACACCAAATATGTGTTTTCCAGGTTAATCTTTTATCCATGTGGAATCCTAAATACTTAACCCTGTCCACTTCTGTCAACGCTATGTTATTCAAAGTAACTGGAGGGCAGTTTTCTTGTCTCAGCGTGAATGTAATATGTAAAGATTTTGTTTCATTAACTTTAGTTCTCCATTTTTTTTAGCCACAGTTCGAAATCATTTATTGTAACTTGCAATTGATTTGAAGCATCTTGAGGATTTTCGGGAATGGAGAGAAATGCAGTATCATCCGCAAACGTAGCAACCGTAATATTTTGGCCCACGGGGATGTCGGAGGTATATAGTAAATATAAAACAGGTCCAAGAACACTGCCTTGGGGTAATCCGGATTGAATAGGCTAAGATGAATCTGAATCTGATTTAGTTATGTTTGTACTCGAACAGCTGAAAAGTGTGTTTTGTCGGTTTGTTCTATCCAAATATTTATCTTGTAACTTTCCACTCATGTATTTATTGGATGTTATTTTTATTTTTTACAGCATTTATTTCTGGTCCAATGATGACATTATTCATAGACGTGTTAACAAAATAAACAAGAAATTAACAATAATAACATCGTGGGTTCGCCCAGACCTGAGACACCTTGTAACATAATTAATTTAGAGAAATATATTAAACTTCTTTAGGCTTCATTCATCTAATAGATCTTGAGGGAGCCTTCGACGTAGCCTCCTGTACTCAGTTGCTTCGCCAAGATGCACCAGGAACATAGTTAAAAGATTTCAGAAATTTTGAAGTGGTTTTTTCAATAAAGGCTGAGATGGACTCCACTCCTAGCTCTTCATGTGTAGGCCTATGCCTGTTTCTAACAAACCAGGGAGCATTAACCGCTATTCTTAGAATTTTGTTTTGAATCACTTGAATTTTGACGAGTTTGTTTTTTTGATACAGCTAATCCCCAGATAGGAGATGCATAAAAAATTGTGTTTACCGTATGGATAAATAAATAAATAGGCCTAAATACAACAATAGTATTTAGTTGTATTTATGGATACTTCAATGGGTGCACTGCAGTGCAGATGTGTTTGCAATTAGTTTTTTTATTATTTTTTTTTTTATTTAAAAAACCTTGTTTTACCAGATAAAACGATCTAATCATAAACAATGTACTGACTTGTCCTACTTATAAAAGCAAATGGTAAAGTATATATCATGTAATTAACCCTAAACTAATAGAAACAAAATTTCGTCGACACTAGCAATCCGTGCCAGCGGACATAAACTAGACAGGAAAAACGAGCTTCAAAGTTTGCAATGGGACGAGAGGTCTACTTGTGTTGGTTACTATTAAAGTGTTGTTATTATATGATGACATCACACTCCGCCCTACTAATAACCCTTTCATACATATCGTTCCAATCTTTATGTACCTACAGAAAAAGAGTACTCACCTATATGTTTTTAAAATAATAAATAAATAAATTACTAACCGGCTGTACGTACTGTATCATTTATGGTGGTTTGGTGTATGGATTTGTGTATTTCAACTGTAGTAGCCTACTACAACACTAATTTGAATTTCCTAAAATGACCTCAAATTTTCTTTTACCCTTCCTCTTTCAACGGTTGTCCCCATTCATTGAAATGTCCAAAGGAATTCTTTTACAGAATTTTTATCACATATTCTTGATGTTCATGGGAGGAAGTCTCACAATCCTTCATTGACTATAAGAATCTACAACTAAAAATGCTAGTGCAGTGTTACCGGTGTATGAAAATACTGTTTAGCGTAAGATGAGGACCGATGAGGACAACCTAAACTATACTTACAAATCTCAGAAGCGATGAAAAGGTAACGCCTGGTTAATTTTTAATTACCAATAAATCAGCTATCAGTTTTTTTAGGCAGTGATGCACAATTGGGGGCGTATTTTAAGTTGAATAAAGGCCAGGGCTTGAGGGCAAGATAAGTGAGTAGCACGATAACAGAAAACAGAAACGGTAAAAATGATAAAAATAAAAAATGGTGCCACTAGCCCGAATTTAAACGTTATTTAACTTTACTGTACTTTAATGGAACTGTAAGAAATGTACAAACCAGATGCCATGGTTCGCAGTTATTAGTAGGATTCGGTCAAGATACGTAATTTGTTTATGTTTATGATCCTTGTTATCCTGTTGTGTTCTAATATCTGTGGTGTGTAAAATGGAGTGAGATGATCTGGTCAGCTTGAGCTTGCAAAGTCTTGCTTATTATACGAACCACTTAATATCTTTATTTACGCAAAGAATAAAGAGGAGAGACTTTATTCCACGGGTTTCCCAAAAAAAGAGTGTTTGTCAATAAGGTATGCTGCTTGTTCATAGGGCAAACGTTATAAATAAATTAAAATTGAGTGTTTTTAGGACGCATTTTAAAATTATTTAGAACTTATGTT